TAATCAGTTTAAAAAAATAAAACTTTAGAACAAGAAAAATCTTCAGCGTTTCAGAAATGTATAATTATTTGAATGACGCTGTGTCTGTTTAAAGCAAAGTAAGACAATGTTTCCTATTTTATTAACATATTTCTACACAGCACTTTTGCAGTAAGGAATACTCTTGTATACTTTAACTTGTGTGTTATGTGCGAAGAGAGTGTCGTAGGCCTAAGCTTTTAAGATAACTTTGTACAATTGACTATATCTTTAAAATATAGAAAACATATTCAGAAGATAATTGCATGGATTTTTGGTGTTTTAATGTAGAAGGTTTTATATGAATAAGTGTCTGATGTTACGATTTGTCTGGCCAACGGTGCAGTTCAAGCCTTCAGAAATGTTAAGTATTCACAGACAAGTAAAATACAAATTCAGTTTAGTCTTTGTGTTTGCATACAGTTTATTTTCTATCACAACATATACAGAAAAAAGGGTTAGAACATCATTCATCACACCATCTACCGTTTTCACCAAACTAGTGTTTTAGATGTATCCTTACGTTACCTGATATTGATAAAAATACGAGTGTTCAAATATGAATATCTTTAAGCATGCTTAATTTGATTCTTCATATGTTTCACTGATTTTTTGATTGTTCCCTAACTGTATTCACATCATCAAAGTTTTAGTTCCCTGATCCAATCTTTGAAGGCATTTCCATAGCCTTTTAGATATACTATGAGGACGCTGAAGTATGTTTTGCTGAACCGTGGTGTTTGCGCTGAACAATGTTTCTACCTGAAATGTATTTCTTAAGCTTTGTAAACAAAAAGAAGTCACCAGGGACAAGGTGATGTGAATACGGAGGATGGGGGCACAGCGACTTTTTTTCTGTTTCAAAAAGTATTGCATTATACACGCCTTGTGCATTGACGCGTTGCCATGCATCACCTGACACTGGACAAAAATGTTGCGGGTCTTCGTTTTCGGAAGTAGCTGTTTAGTTGCCTTAAGAAGCAGCAACATGAATAGCGGGTTCACTTTGTAAAGAAAATGGCATATTCATTGTTTAACCTTCTCTATACTCTTCTATACTTCTATACTTCTCAATGCATGGTCTTTTTCCTAGACGTTGTAGGCTAAATCCTGTTTTGACTTTTTCGTTTTGGCTCATAAAAATGAACAAATGTTTCGTCACAAGTACCGATATAAGCAAAAGACCGTGCATAATAATTTGAATACTGGTTAAGCATTATTCACAATTAACATTGCACACAAGCCTTTTCCTACTCATCTGGCAGCAAATTGGGAATCCATCTAACACAGATATTTCTCATTTTCAAATCACGTTTGAGAATGGTAAGAGTCGCTCCTAATGATATGCTAACGACACTAGCCATCTGTCTAGTGGTGTATCTTGCATCAGTATTAATTATTACTTTCACTTTAGCAACCATCTTGACAGACGTTGCTGTTTTAGGCAGACGTATTTGGGTTGTATCTTCTATCCAATTTAACCCACATATGAATTTGTTTAACCAAAGAATAACTAATGAAAAAGACATTTTATTTTGTTCATGTAAATAACAGATATTTGTATCATAGTTTGGAGACCTTTCTGTTGAAAATGTGTCAGGGTTAAATCGTATACATATGCATGCACAGTGCGTTAACTGGAGTGCGGGTATTAGTTACCCGCACTCCAGAGCTTGCCCATTGATTGGCTCATTTTTGCTGGGGTTTACATATTGTGACGGCAGAGAAAGTGAAAGCGACAGAAATGTCATATTCAGAGATTCGTTCATTGGTTCATTTTTGCCGGGGTTTCATATTGTGACAACAGGGAACGTGCTTTATGTTTGACTATGATACAAAAGAGAAAGAACACCAAAACACTAGGCAATCTGATTAATACTCGGGGGCTACGCCCCCTCGTACAAATCAGATAGCCTCGTGTTTCGGTGCTCTTTCTATTACTTACACCCTATCCCAAGGAGATAACGATTCTAAACGTACATGTATAAGACCTATATCGACGGCGTACTCTCATCTTATACCAATGACTTTGGTATTACAGTGACGCGTAGACAATATATAGCAAGTTATAAACACAGCTAAAGATTTTAATAACTTTGGTAACTTTACATTCATATCTACCCGATACTCTTTATTTCCTCGTGATTTTCTTAATATTGAACTATATAACGTTTTTGAAGTATTCATATTTGAACACTCCCCGTATATATTAAATCTTAATTGTCGTTAAATAACTTGTTGCTGTGTAGTGTGTATTGTTATTTGATCCATATAAAATTGGGGTTTTGCCCATTCTGAGACAATAAATTTTTTTAAGCTAATTTTGAGTTATTTAACTAAATAAAAGAACTATTCTTAATTGTATTAAATGAAACAAATCAAATATTGAAATTGACTTTATCCTGAAACATATTGGGTGTTGGTATTTTATTAAAGTTTTTACACGACTGTCGAGAAATACATCCGGTAGGAAGTTTATGTTAGTTCCAAGAATAAATACTCTAGTATCATTTCAATTAAATCAATTTCAAGAGAAAGAGGATATAGACAATCGACGCCAACAAACTTGTTTCACATTCTCTTCTCAAGTATGATTCCAATAATATTGCATATATCAATGTGAATAGTGCTGAAAAATGTCTATATGGAAATGATACTTTTAATTAGCATTGTGAGTTTTAAACTATAATTACTATTATGTTGCACATATACATGTACATGTTGTAGTTACGAATCTGAAATCTGAATCCCCGAGCAAGGATAAGTACAATAAAAGTTTGAAAAGCAATGCTGCTATACTTGATAATATTGCACTGTTTGAGTTAGTGTAAGGTCTGAGTCACAGAAATATAAAATGATGTAAAATGTTGTTTTTTTTTCTGTAATATTATGAATATAACTGTGAAGCGACTGTTCCTTATTATAACTTTATTAACTAATTATAATCAAGTGTGAGCGTATAAATAAATACGTAACATAACCAAGCGCATAAGACAAGCGGTTAGACGGCGTTTTATGTTGAAGTTTTAATTTGGTTTTATATACTCTAATGTTATAGAACTTTACTGAAAGGCTATGGATATTGTTGTTGTTGGGTATTTGTAGAAACCCAAAAGTATAAAATGATATTCCAAAATCTGACATGTTTTGACTTAAACCAATTATCTTGATGACTAGAACTCCTCCCTATGGGGAAAAGTGGCTGATATAGAACATCTTGTGTGTGCCAAATTTATATCTTTTTTAACTTTACAGAAAGAAAAAATCTCATGATAAATCTTCATTTGAGATGTTTTTACCTGACAGGTGTTAACTTGTGTCTACATTATGAAAAGAGACAAATTGAGGCGTTTGATAATTATTTCAAAAGAATAATAATGACTGTTGAAGATAGGAATTGGTCGTTTTTTGAAACTCGTGAAGCGAATAAAAATATAGGTTATATCGAAAAAGAACTTACATGAACGATGAATAGTTTCATATTTATGTGATTGAAAACAAAATAGAATGAGTATAACTGTTTTGTAAAGTAAACCCGGTGTCATATAAAAGCAAGTAAATGTATGCTTACATTTCACAAAATACTTGACGAAATATTCTTTTTAAAAATCGCATTTAATTAAACTATTAACTTTTTACACGACTTTTGAGGGAGAGAGAAAACGAAGTCAATTTACAGATCAAAGATTAAATGTCTACAAAGGGGAATTAATAGATTTGTGTTTAAAGGTAATTACGCTGTCATGAACTCATAATGTTATTTAAATTAATGTTTATTACTTTTGACACACTACTGGTATTATCATGATTATTTGGACATTTTTCACTTTTCATTTTGAACTAAATACAAAGACGCCGCCAATTGTACTAGTTTCCACAATGTTATTTAGATAAATCAAAGTAAAATTAAATTGAAGAATTTTAATCTGTCGGAACAAGAAAGTAAAAAAGTAGATCTTACATTGGGTCTGAGGACAAGAAAACTTCAGAATTATTGTCTAAGGGAAGAACAGTTGTTTGCTTAACAACTATACATTATTTGACAATGTAGTGCTATGGGATTCATAATTGATTGTTTCGTGAGTTTATAGTATGTGATTTTGTGTGCATTTTTTTCTTTTTATTACATTTTCATTTCCTATTTTTTGTATGTTTGAGGTGCTTTTCGCTACACAGTAAATAAGATATGATACTTATATATGACCGGTGTAATAAAGTTATTATCGTATAATGTAACCTGGAGAATAAAACCGCGTCGATGGATGCATATTTTACATATTATATCAAATGGTGGATTTAGGTAAACGGCGCACGGTTACAGCGCTATTCATCTATAAAATTGCTTTTATTTCACGCCACAATCGTATACAAATTTGACAACTATCTGCATCTATTTAACATTTCAAAAGATTGAATGATTCATACGAAAGGTTAATTCAAAATAAAACTTTATGTGGATTGTTCACCGTGAAATTATTTTTTTTTTTTTTACATTTAAATGAAACACGTAATTTCGCTAACCGACCGGGCACAATAAGATTCAATCATTGATGATGGGCTTGTTTTAAAGCAAGCATTTAAGTTTTGTTTTAAATTCAATATTCCTATGACACATCCGATAAAAATACATGTAAGGAATTTTTATGTCTTGGTATTTAAAGGATGCAGGATATAACATAAGTTATCCTATACTACGATCATTGTTAAATCAGGTATTTCGCAATAATCTGTGAGCGTTATTGCATTTACGAATTTAAGACGGACAAGGAACGTTGTATAAGTTAGCACAGGGTTTTAATACTATTGTCGACGAACACTGTTTCAGATAATCATTTATATATTAATGTTATAACTAATCGGATCATAATTAATTTTTCTGCGGAACTAACAAACAAATGTTACAGATCGAATTGGATATAATTCTGCGAAACGAAACTATTTTTATTAGTTGAAAATTCTTAATACCGACAATTATTTTTCAGGCGTGTTAGAGATTCGGACAGGCTGTATTTACTCAGGAAGTAAAATCTTATAAACGTTAAACGTTTCATCTACTGTGTATAAATCTTTGACTTTGGATTTAAATTCAAGTGGATTATTTTGGACAGTGAAGAAAAATGTTGCTGAACGGATTATTAGTGTCTATAGTGTATTTGGTGAGTATATTTATTTCATATTCATATACTCATATTTGTTTTATAACATTCAGATATGCTATATTTTTTATTTCTGACGTTATAATGAAAATGAAACGAAATTCTCAATATTTTATATACTTCATCATATGAAAATGCTTTGACTGACAATCAATCAAAATGTTGTCGCTATATATTCTAAACTGTATTTCCCACATTTTCTGTATTCTTTTCATTCTCTATATAATACGAGATATAAGGTATGAAATTAATGACGTATAGTTTAGTATATATGGAACTATTAATGGTGTCTTAATATGTAAAGCATACATTTTCTTGTAGGCAATATCTAAATTAATTTTTAACATGTTACCTCCTCCCATTTAGATTCATTTATGATTTTATTGGTGTCACATCGAGCTTGTTATGTTCATGCACTGTTCGTTGTATGTGTATTTCTGATGGGCTTCTAATGTAAAATAAAAGTATGCAACTTCGGAAAATACAATTCGTGGAATCGCTAAATTAGGCGATTTATCGTAAAATGAATAATGACATAGAGGATATTCAAGTTTTTTCTATAAATACACGATTTATTTTCATCGAGTGGTATGAAAATAAATATTTCATGAGGGCGGGGGCCACGAGTAAATAGTACTTTCAATGAAAAGATGAAAATAATCATGTTTTATGGAAAAAAATTTGAATTTCTGTTTCTTTTCATTTTTTTACCAATTTTTGACATTAAAATTTTGATAAGAAATTTCCTTAAATGTTACTTTTTGTACTCAGAATTTAAAAAGTAGTTCCGCAAGATCAGTGAATTTAAACGAGCTTTATGTTTCACTGTTCGTTTTAATGTGTATTTTTTTCAATGAAAATAAAAGGAAACTTGGAAAATACCCAATTTTATCGATATTTCTAAATTGGCATTTATAGTAAATAATAAAATCACTTTAATTGTGATCATTAAGTCACTTGTTAATTTACCTTACAAAATATAGTTATTTTATATATTGCATACGTACTTTTTCTATTGGTAAAAATGCTAGATTTGACATCAGAAATACAATGTTAATACTACAGTAAATACCCTACTCGTTATTTCATCAATTAATCTAAACATTATTGTTTTTTCACTACCCTTTTTTATTTCCTTTGATGACTTTTTAAGAAAGTATTTGGATATTATTTACGTAGTTGAAGAAATAAATAAAATATTCTTTCAAGGTTTCTATACTAATTTGAATAGTGCATTACTGAATTAAAACTTAAATTAATTGCTGGTGAGATTTTACTTTATGAAACGTCATGTTGTGTTAGCAACGGGAAAGTCGCTAAAATGAAATATGATGTAAGAGGCGTCTGTATATGAATGAAAAATAATAGGGTGACATTTTAAAATATTTGAACGGGGATTAAAGTTTAGTATGTGATACACATATTTTAGAATAAAATGACACACAAAGTTGTTTTTTTAAATGTCACTCGACCAGTTTTATGCATTACGTCCAAGATACTTTACGTCGAAATTAGGTAAAATGTGGTGGAGAAAAAAAATGTTTTTTTTAAAAAAAACATTGTAAACAGTTAAAATTCAGTCTCATTTCCGAGTTGAATTAAGTGGCTATTTTGCGCTACAAAAGAATCCAAATTGATAAAAAAAAAACATGTTAAACTATCTTTTATGTAATTTTTTTGTTTCTCTCACACCAGAACTACTGTATAAGTCGCTCTGATTACCTCACATACATTCACAGGCAATTACGAATGTAGGGGAAATATATTATCTCAAGGCCAATATAAATGATATCTTTAAAAATACTTTCGAAAAGTTGAAATTGACCGGAAAACGAAGTTAAGATATATCGTAAATTAAGCATGGCTTACCAGTTATATTGAAATTACACTAATTGGCTTTATTAGAAATGATAAAGCGTATTGCAAGAGACACATATAAAACTATTAAATAAATCTCGTGAAACGTTATTAGCGTGGGAAATGTACTGTTGTCAATTTCATTTATTAAGTCGTTAAATGAATCTTTATAAATGTGAATTATATTTCTTATTTTGAATTGCAAAAACACAAGCTTGTGTTTCGATGCCTCCCTTCTGTCTCTTTGCTTACTGCAGTAACGTCATTGATTAAACACCTCGATGACGTTTAAGGAATTTATGACGTTCATCGATGCCACGCGTTTGGTACGGTATATGAAATGTATAGGAACTACTGTATTTGCATGTGATAAGAGTTTAAAAAAATATTTTAAAAGAAACGTCAATGTAAGTGAATGAATAATATACAAGGATTGCTTTAACCGTGTAATTAAACTTCAAGAAAAAATATGGAAATATGCACCAATCCTGTATTATTTTGATTATGTTCCTACATGCACAGTTATACATTAAAGGTCCCTTGCTGTTAAAATATTTTCGATTTCTTTTCCCTTCCCATTTTTCGGTCATATCAACCCTTTTACGGAAAACCACATACATGATAAATCAAATACAGGCAGGAATACTTAAATAAAGATTTTGTCGGTTAAAAATATGCATATACAATGTACCAATCCATGTACGTGATTATTTCTAAGCCAACGAGCGTGGGTAAAATGCTGAGACACTGAGTCAGCATAGTTTAAACTATTTCAATTTGTACTTAAACAGTACTTTATCATCATTTTGAGTATTTACGACAGTTTAACCGAAAACTTCAATATTTATCCGTTTCTACATTTTAATGAAATGTACGCATAAAGTATAACAACTTAAATCTTTTTATTTTATTTTATTTTATTTTTAGTGCATTCCGTGCACGTAGTTTCAAGTAAATACGCACTCAATCCAATTTAGATACAATAAGGTGCACGGTTATGTTTTAATCAGTCAAGCAATATTAATCAATTTCCCTGGGGTGACATGGCGGTGTTGCCTAATTTGTACATATTTCACAAACATATTACTTTTTGTCCTCGTTAGAAACAAAAACAACAAGAAAATAAATGTACCAGATATAATCGTTTCGCAGATTGACTTTGTAATTAATTACGCCCCTAACAAGGTAATCAATTGTTCTTGTTTGCTTACAGCTGTTTTTTTCCTAATTAAATATAAAAATAAATACATTTATTTTTCATTGTGTATATGAAATGATAGCCAACACTACCCAGAGATAATAATATCACCCAACTTTACAATATTTTACCTTATTTAAACTGTTTAAGAAAACATTTAATTGAACAACTAATAAATATCAAATTAATTTTTCATCGATTAATTTTGTTATGTCTAGAAAAGGGCGTTAAACCGCAATCATTTTAATGTGTTTTTATACTGACACTTGATATCTTCCCATCCATTTTCCGGAAGAAATAAATATAAAATCTTGATGTTTACACCTCATTAGAAACTTGCTGGTATATGAGGGAAGATAAACTGTCAGATAAACATTTTCTAAAGCGTATTTTCTCTCGCATTTCAACATCCGCATTATTGCCAAATCTATTTTAATACCCGGATTTTCACAACAGTAAATAACAATCAGTAAAGAATGCATTGTGCCAGGTCTTGCCAGAGACTGCACAATGACTAGACAAAAGGTAAATGTCAAAATGGTAGACAGCTTGCTACAAGGCAGTAGGGTTCAAAAAGAAAAGTTAAGATGTAATTTAAGGTCACTCAACCCTTTCGCTGATAATTATGGTTAGTTAATTTTAAGTTTGAAGGACAAGTACAAGAACAAAAACACACGATAAAGACAGCTAGGAGCAAGGAGAAGAAGAGCAGCCGATTATAGCTGTTAAACTGTTTAGTCCTTGACCTTTTGTATCTTGATTTGAAAAATTCTGTCTAAATATCAATTCATTTTTTTTTTCATTTAACCAGTTTTAGGACAAGAGATAACACAATCTATCATATAATATTGTTGATGTTTATCAAGATATCGCCTCGTGTTCTAGTGAATTATAATAGAAAACTTCTAACTTAGAAACTAACATTTCCGAACCAATCTGTTTAGTTCTTATGACGTAAAACGAATTCTTATTACCGTTTATAAATCACTTAATAAACAAACTCTGTGTATTGTATAATCTAAGCTAATAACGTGTTTTTCTGTTCTCCAGGTACACATGGCGAGCTCGCAGCACGTGCAACAAGCTGGTAAGTGTCTTAGATTTTTAATATTTAACTTCTATTTATCAGAATGGTTTGATAGTACTGCTGATAATATTATAAGCAGTGCAGAAATAAACACACACCTCTATAAAACCTTTAATAAGGAAAACGTCTTTTGTGAAGTTTAGTAATTTTGTTTTTGCTGAGACTTTTTCAGGTCAAATAAACGTCGTGGTGACCTTGACCACTAATGTCAATAATTAATTATTAGATAGCCGGTCAATTTTACGAACATTTCATATTGAATACTTTTTAAATACCCAATTAAACTTTTTAAATACCCAAATTAATTTGACACCTATCCATGTTTACCGGTATAATTTTATATCTCGATATATTGTAATAAAAAAATTGAGAAACAATACAATAAACGAAATTCAAAATTGAATTATTCATTTTCTTTCACTGTTACATGAATTGATTTCAGATAAAGTTAATAAAAGTTTACGGTTGAAATCTAAGAACAACATTAACGTTAACATCCTTGATTCTGCTTTTTCTATTTTCGTAACATAAACAAAACATTAATGTCAGTTCCGTGTTAGATACCGCCTTGAAGTGGGTGTCTCTCACAACAAGCATTATAGTGATAAAGAAAATCAGTTTTTACGATGCATGCGTCTTCGATATGCAGACATGCAATAACACTTTGTCGAATCCAAACAATAGTAATTAAACCAAAGACAGTCATTGAGAGTGACTTTGCAGGAAAAAAAATAATTGGGATTATTCCTGCACAATTTAATGGAAGAAAAGAATATGACATAAAGTTAGCACTTTTTTAAAGTTTATGCCTACAAGAAATACGAATGGTTTTTCAGATACCAAATTTAACAACAACAAAGAAGTGAATTTCTGTTGATGAGATCATCTATAGCATATCATTGTCAATCTATAATGGAATTATCTCGTTTTAACATGGAATGAATAAATAGAAAGGCAATGCAAAAAGCTGTGACTTACAGCTGCTGTGGTCGCAGACTTAAATAGCACATTTAGTCTCTCTTGCAAAAATACTTTGCTATAAGAACGGCTTCGGGTTAGGCAACTTCTTATGCATGTAAAATATCAAAAATAAAATAGTGCATTAGCATCAAAACATTTTGTAATAGCTAAAAGTATTTCCTCTATTGTAAAACGAAGTGATTTTCCTAAGCATGCAGTCCAAAAACACTGTTCGACATTTTAAGTCATCAGCATTTGATGTTTTTAACTAATTGAGAATTTGTTTAAGCTCATATTAGGAATCATAAAAACAGAACTGATGCTGAAAATGCATTTTTAAGGAATTAAAGCATTTAAACCCAGGATATTCAAATCCCTCCTGGTCATTCGAAGCTGTGGTTCAACTATCATAACGTGCTACTTAACTATAAAAATATCAAATAACTATGTAAGAACACTTGTTTTTTATGTATCGTTGTAATTCAAAATTGTGAAATATTTTCCGGTTCTTTACAATCCTTTCTTACAGATATATTTGTAGTTTCAGTTTTGTTATTATGTACCTTTTGTTATCATTAAACGGTATATAAGTACATCTAATAAAGGTACATATTCTTATTACAAATAGTATATACAAAAAATGTTATCACACCATCTAAATCCAAATATTTTGCGCTGTACATTGTAAAAAAATGTCTTGTTGTCATACATACACGTATTTTGTTCCACAAGTAGAAAAACTTACGCATATTTTGCCCTAATATAATTGAAACATTGCCATATAAAATGTAGTTGTTAGTGTGTGTTATTATGCTAAATACGTTAGTTTTGTTACAAAAAACAAGTCAGATATATTTTTATCAAATAGATTTCTTAAATAAATTGCCGATCAGAAGTTTAAATTTCTTATGTAGATAATTTCAAATCAAAGACTTCTTCAGACAAGAATTCACAGATCCTCATTTACTGTTGTTTGTATTTGAATACTATATGTTAAAAAATACCAGTATACTATCTATTGTTCTTTTTCATCTTTTGGCAGTTGGAATACATTTTGTAAAATTTTTTAAATTGATGCTTGATTATTTGTTGTTACAGATCAAATATGTGGAACAAAGGCGTTTGATATTGTGTTTGCCATCGATACCTCGAGTAGTATCTGGAAACCGGACTTTGGCCTTGAGTTAAAATTTATCAAAGACGTGTCTCAACAGTTCAATATAGGACTTCGACATGATCAGACCAGAATTGGTGTGGTCTCCTTCTCTGACAACTATTACCTTCAGTTTCATTTATGGCAGAATAATCGACTTGACCTTTTAGATAGGGCACTGAACCGTATCCGGCATAGGGCAGGCAGAAAGACCAACACGGCGGCAGCATTGAAGGTAAATTGGTCAAATGCAAATGTATTGCTGATTTCCAATAAATTTAAGCTTGAAATAGAAACAGAAATGATTAAATGATTGATAAAGGTTTCAATCATTTTTGATGAATAAAGTAAACTTGAAAGCCTGTTTTGAAAAAAAAAGATTACTCAAAATCTTCAAAGCTATACATTTTATTTTCTAACCTAATCATGTTCTTGATATAAAGGTTTCACTGTACAATGGTTTACAAATTCTAAAAAAGTGCTTATTGCCCCTTTCATACTTATTCCTGCTGAAAACTATTTCGCTTTTTATTTTCAATCATACCTTTATCTACTCTCTGAGAACATTTACCAAAATAAACTTCTCTTATCTTGTTGTTGTTTTTCTCGTGCTTATTAATGCGTACTTGAACATTATCATGAGATCTCAGAACTATTATAGTTTTTTGCATGGATCATTTAGTATTAGTCTGGCATGGAGATTAGATATTATAATCTGTATCTAAAATCCGGATCTCCCCACAGACATTATCATCTCCCGTCAGATTGTAGTGTTTCTAACAAATACCACGCAAACTTTCGGTATATATTAATGAAATGTTTCAATTTCTATTTCCAGAAGATACTGGAACTGTTTATTCTCTTAAATAATGTTGGTGGCATATTGAGATTTCCGTCTTTCTATAAATTTCTAGATGGTGTCAGACTGTATTCGATTGAAGCTCAAATAGCAGGTCTAAGCAGACTTGACTGAGCTTTCCAATTTTTGTTCCTAAATGGAACTTATAGCGAGTTAACGATCGTTGGATGAAACAGTGAAATCGGGAATAACAACCTTATGATAATAACTAAAGCTTTGTTGAGCTTAAAAATCCGATATAAAAACTACATTACATGAAAACAATATATATATAGCAGATATAGTGTATTGTTTAAATATGTCTAATATGTCCTGTCTAGGCTTTGCCTTATTCATATTAGGATTTGACAAACGTATAAAACTGACACCGAGTCAAACGGACGTAACAAGCTGCATTTGACATTATGTCGGCAGGCGGTTTAATTAATTGACATATTGTTTATTTCTACTTTTTTTATTTTTTCAGTATATGGTTAGTACGATGTTTACCCCGAGATACGGCAGTAGGAAGAACGCAATACACGTGGCGGTGGTGATAACCGACGGGAAGTCACAAGACCGGAAGAAGACACTTCAAGCAGCTGCGCATGCGCGGAAAGCTGGAATTCACGTATTTGCTATAGGAGTTGGTGACCAAGTTGAATATAGAGAGCTGGAGGAAATAGCAAGTAGACCACCAGAACAACATGTGTTTGAAGTAGATGACTTTGAGTCACTAGATTCAATGAAATACATATTAGCAAACAAGACATGTACAGGTAAATAAAACATCAACGTATGATTCTTCATTCTAATTGGTATTTGTTCTATATTAGAAGGGACAACATAAACATCACTGATAATCTCAACTGTGCCATGAATTTATCAAAAACTAAATTAATCTGATTCTAAATTGCTCATATAAACCTTGTCACCTTCGTCACATCTTTAAGAGATTTTCTTGTGTTGATTATCGGAAATTATTCATCTGAATAGGAATCATAAAGTAATTAGATATACGAGTATATCATATATGGCAAGGTTTTCCGTGTTAATACACCTCATTCTAATATTGTGATAAAAAATATTTGCTACATTGAAATTCATGAGAATTTATAGACAATATTTCTAATTGATTTGATTACAGGACCAGTGACAGAACCACCGTTTTTTGCGAGTCATTCTGGACAGTTACTTGGATCGCAATCACAAGGAGGTGGACGGCCGACACAGTCACCTCCGTTGGTAAGAACCCCTACTGGAGCCAGATGGTCGACAACGACCCACTCAATGAGGGATGTTACCATACCTATACCCGATATCCAGGCTGACATAGATCCTAGGCTTAATGTAACAAGTAAGTCTGCTATATTATATAGTACCGTAGATTAACGACAATTGGACATCAACATTAAATTGCTAAATAGGTCAGTAAATGGAAGTTGCATGAGAGTGTAAAAAGCATTATAATGTGATAAAATTGTGTCAACTTTTTGTGCATTTCGACTTGTAATCCGGTAATAGTTTTGTTAATTGTTTTCAATTGAATGAAGCATAGAACTGAATTGATGTACCGGTATTTTCTTAATGTTTTATGAGAATAATTGTTGGTAGCATACTTGTTTCAGCAGTAATGTCACCTCATCTATACTCTGATTTTATTTTTGTTGTAGATTGTGGGGGAAAACCAGCAGATATATACTTTGCCCTTGATGCATCTAGCAGCGTTTGGCCAATTGACTTTAAAAAGCAGCTGACATTTATTGAAAGTTTAATCAGTTTATTTGATGTCTCGCAAAAAAAAACGAGAGTTGGACTCGTGCTTTTTAGTGACAGAGTACAGCCTATCTTCGATTTTAATACATTGCAAACTAAAGAAAATTTGATTAGTAAAATGAAAAATATAACATTCATGAGTGGGAGAACAAAGACAGCCGAAGCTCTCAAATTTGTACATGAACAGGGATTTTCGCCCGATGTAGCACGACAAGGAGTTGCACATATAATGTTTGTGTTCACGGACGGGATTTCTAAAAGACCTCACGTGACTGCACGAGAGGCGGAGCTAGCAAAAAGACGCGGTATTTACATGTTTGCTGTCGGTATCGGCAGAAGCGTCGAGAAAACAGAATTGAAAGATATAGCAAGTGAGCCGTCTGACGACTTTGTGTTCCACGTCAGCAATTTCAGTGTACTCGGAACAATAAGAAATATTCTAGCTATTAAAACATGTGCCATACAACCTGAGAACTTCGTCGCCGATCAAAAGAAATTTGGTACGTATGTAATAAGTTAAAAAAATGAAACTTGGACCCATGATGTAGAATTAGTATTTCCTTAATTCCTATGTGCATGTTTCAAAGTACCTATGTGCTTTATGAGTTAAGTATCATTAAAATGTAACAATATGCTAAAACATTCCAAAAAAATGGGACTTGAATATCCGGCTTTAATTTAAATAATGTTAGGACGGGGTTTTGCGGAATATTCATTACCATAATGTATCAGATGAATATTTGAAAGATGATAAAGAGGCAATAACAACAAAATTAAGCTAGGCAAAGTTACGTTTCTTTTACAATTCACGTTTACCCAATGTGATCTATCTACCTACAAAGTTTCTTTTTGATATCTCTTATTGTTTAAGAGTTAAAGATCAAAGTGTAAAAATGAACAAAGGACAATATTTAAACTCCAAAATTAAGCAAGGCAGAGTTACGGTTCCTTTGCACTGCACTTTTCTAAGTGAGATATATCTACCTACAAAGTTTCTTGTTGGTATCTCTTGTGGTTTCAGAGTTGATTGTTATATTCCTTTTTTTTGGCAAAAGCGAAAACAACTTTAAACGGCTGCGCTAACTGGCTTATTTTGCATGTATATTCTGCTAGCTGTGAAGACAGCATTAGCTGGCATTGACTCATTTTACCTGGGGTTTCCATTTGAAAGAAAAGTGAAAGTGCACACGAGAGGGAAATACACATAGTGTGTTTATATACTATTACTATTACTATTAATTTTATTTCAGAATGTGACGTTAAAGTACCGACAGATCTTATGTTTGTGTACGACTCGGCACAGCTCGGAATTCCACGTACACGGAAAATTACGAAGTTTGTTTATGACGTCACGTCCGCTTTGAACATGGAGTCACATAATCTTAAAGTTGGCAGACTTATGGAAAATTGCCTTTCTGGTGCCGATTCATTTCTATCATCACAGAAGCCATCCATGGACTTTGATGGCATAGACTTTCCCGATTTTCGAAGAATGATTAGAAAACTAGCCAGTCAAGGCTTTGCCGAGCCGTATGGTGCACGACGTTATGCTAAAAAAGTTGCAGTGCTATTTTTAGATGATAATATGGAGAATCTTAAACAAGCTGCTGAAGAAATTGCGCGTTTAAAAGAAACCCATACAATGGTTATTACTATTGGTGACTCGGACATGTACACAGCCGCTTCATTTTCTTCAAGGCCGGTCAATGACTATATCGTGCACGTGCCGTCGTATAAATACTTGCATACCGCAAAATCAACACTTTTACAAAAACTTTGTAACGTGCTCCATAAAGACAGACAATAATTGATATGTTATGCAAAGTTTGCATGTTAATGTCAAGATGAATGTTGATGTTGTTAGCCAAATTTTGACAAATACTTCGTATAACTGTGATATTTATGATGGATAGATTAATATATTGTATATAAAGTTAGGCAGGTACAAACCTTCCAAAGTTCCAATGTGACATTTGAAAAAAGGACATTCCTTTGAATAATTAACCAAACTTTTTTCTATGCAGATTACGTAAAGTATGTCTACAGAAATTAATTGCACTATATGTTTTTGGTTTTATTTGAAATGCCTCCTTTGTTTTGATTTCAGTCAAGAATTTCTGTGTTAAATGTGTATTTTACTGAATAATAAATAAGAGGTATAATAATGTAAATAAGCATATCTTGAACCAGGGAAAGTGGTGAAACATAACATTTTATACTGCCCTCACACATACCTCGCGACCTTACTGCGTCCTTACTGCGACCTTGCTACGACCCAGGACGCAGCACAGTCGCCATGGACGCAGCAGGGACGCAGCGAGGTCGTAGCGAGGAACCCAAGGACGCACAAGGTCGCAGAAGGACGCACAAGGTCGCAGACCGTCGGCGACTATTTTGAACATGCACAAAACAGTCGCAGAAACTCTGCGTTCTTGCTGAGTCCTGGTTAGGTCGCCGTGGGACCGCAGTGGAGTCGCCATAGTCGCAGTAGCATCGTAGTAAGGATGCAATTAGAACGCAATAGACGTAGTACACTCGTACTAAGGACGCCGTAAGGTCAGACTCAGAATGAAATTTACTGGTAAAAAGTATTGTTTTTATAGACGTAGCAAGAACGTAGTAGGGTCGTCGTACAGTCGCAGGACAGTCGCCGGACAAACGCAATAGTCGTCGTAGAGTCGCCGTAAGGACGCAGAGAACATAGCACAGTCGCAGCTGGGTCGCCGATGATCGTCTAGGGGTCGCCTTGGGGACGCAATACAGTCGCAGTGGAAACGCCATGGACGTAGAAGGGTCGTATTGAGGACATAGAGAAAACGTACTGAACACAAGACTGCAGAGCCCCGGACCGTCTGCGAGAGAAATTTGAAAGAAAACCAACGATTTTCGAAAGAAAAATGCTTTTTTACTAGTTTTCAGGTCGCAGTAAGGTCGTGGTTTATGTGTGAGGGCACCTTTAAATAGAGGATATTCAAGTGTTTTTTTTTCTATAAATACAGGATTTATTTTCACTGAGTCGCGGCTACCGCCATTCATGAAATCTTTATGTCCATACCACAAGATGAAAATAAATCCTGTGTTTGAAAAGAACTTGAAATTTCTGTTTATTATATACATTTTTCTTAACTTTTTAAAAAAAAATATTTGGAAGTCTTCCACCTAAACTTTGTGTTTTGGCTGAATTTAGAAGTAAGTAGTCTAGCAAGACATCAGTAAAATACGGGAAATATATTCCACTGCAGTTAAAAATGATCTTTCACAATGAAAATACTGAAAATGAAAATACGCATCTTATTTCATCAATATTTCTCAATATTTCATTTATAAGTACATGTATATTTATAATTAAAATAACGTTTATATGAAAAATGTCAAGTATTTTGGCTAACACTAAGACATGATCCTGTACGTACAAATGAAGTCAGTATTAATATCAAACCATATATCTCTTGTTGGATAGCTAAGGGGGACAATTCCTCAGGCATAAAACAGTAAACTGCTGTGATATATGGCCTGTGGAGTTGTCTCCCTTAGAGGCAAAAATAGGTAGTCTCTTGTAATTCTTTTAGAATGGCTTTTCATGTATTTTATGTTTGTGTTTTACGTTTTATATGTAAGTTTATGTATACATGTAAAGATGAGACTGAAATAAAGAAATAAATCTTGTTAAAACTTCACATTTAACCAATTCTATACATTAATGAAGAGTATTCATCACATCTGTATTAATGCTTTGTTAATGAAAAAATAAGTACAGTTTTGATGGCACTCCTGTGACAAATTCGAAATAACCGAATATTGTTGTGTATATGCTGTCAAATATATATAGGTTATACAATGTAAGATTTAATGAAAGATTTATTGTATAGCTTTTTGTTGACGCAACAAGATATAATATAGACATTATTGTTAATCCAACTTGATGAGATTACTGTATATTAGTTGTATATAGTGTTTATAAACTTGTATATAGAGATAAACGTTTTGGCAAATTACAGGCCATTGTAATAAATTATTACGTTGATTCCATGACAGAAGGAAAAGTATTGAGTTCCTATCCAGGAAATGTAGAGAATATCCTTATTTCTACTTTCAACAAACTTAAGAATTGAAAGTTGAAAACTCATTGCCGCCTTCATTTTTTGGTTTTTTTTTCACATTCTTTTGCAATCTTTAAGAACACAGACGAACTTTTAAATTGACTCAAATCAATAAGCCTCATAATCGATATCTCGATATGAAATATTTATTTTACTGTATCATTATCAGTACTTTACGCTCACTTTCTAACATAGGCTTGATGTTTATATATTCTTGAAAATGTCAATGTACACATATTGTTTAGCATCTGCATTTGTTAATACGAGTATGGTAATATTTTAATATCTATATTTGTTAATAAGGTACTATTTTTTTAGTTATTCATACATAACAATTGCAATTGTTGCTTGTATATCTAGTTACATGATGTATATATTATGTTTTCATATTGTAATTATTGTTTTAATAAAAAAAATAAAGCTTGACGATATAAAATACTGAATGTTTTGTCATACCTAACATGTGCATAAAATTATATTTACTAAATACATACAAATACTAAGGGAATAGGACCCGAGTGAATGATTATCCATATAATCATATTACTGTCACGATTCTCCTTGAAAAGCAATCAGCACATGTCTGTTTGATAACGGTAATTTGTGGTAGAAAGTAATGTCGTGTATTGTCAGGAATGACAAACAGGGTCAAATTTCAAAAAGGATTACGTGATATAGCATGGAACATAATGAACAAAGTCACCCACAAATGCCCTAAGTACTGCACAAGGAAAACCGCATTGGCACGAGGACTTGAACAAGGCAGGAATGCTTCTAATAAAAGTAAAATATAAATAAACCTCATTAATGTTATGCTTTTGAGTGGATTACTGATTTATTTGTGAAAATTATATTTGATAATTTCACAGTGAAAATTATCAAAGTATAATTTCACACTTTTCAAAGATGAGACTACTTTTTTAAGATTTTCCCCATGCGGTACCTCAATTTTATAATTGGGCTGTGTAGAGAAAAGCAAAGCTGAAATTGATAAATAACTGAAATTTTAAAAGTAATAAAAAAAAGGCAACTTAAGTCAATTCATTCAAATTACCAATCACCAAATATCGTCTCTAAATTTTTCTTTCATGTTTACAGTCTGAAAAATACAATTCCTTCCACATGCAGAACTGCTCTTGATGACATTTGGGCATATTTAAGTATCCAACGTGCAATAGCTGCCTAATAACTTGAAAAGCAATGACAGACATCAGCCCGAAGAATAAGTAAATAACTCAGCGTTCGTAAGTTTGTAAGGCAGCCTTTCAAAAAGTCCTGCATGTGTTCCAATTTCTAGTCGCTTTTGAACCTATCAACACTTATTAATTGTCTGTAACAATCCTCAAATAAGTTTTCTTTCTTCTTAAAAGATGTATGACTAACAAATCCAAATGATATCCCTTTGAATCAAACACATTTATTTTCCTCCCATGAAATACACAACTTTTAAAATGGCGGCCGCTTACATTTCACGGAGCCAAGTCTAATATAAATTCGCCGTAAGTAACAGAATTATGGATGGATGGTTTGACTTTTTCTCCTGTTTTTATTATTAAAACAAGCGATCTTTCATATTATTTAAATAAAATGAATAATATCATCGCCATTTAACGTTGATTGTCGAACTTATTTTCAGCCCAAGACTTCTTGTATTTTATGAGAAATTCGACTAATAGAGAGGCTACCAATGGGGAAAACATATTTTAATATTAAAGTTAATATCAAGGAAATTTCGTTTTAACTTGTTTTTAAGCATAAAATAAAAAGATAATTTGTTTGTTTGTTGTTGTATAAGAAGTTATTTTATTTCATCTCGTAAACTTTACGCCATTCGTGAGAATACTGTTTTTAAAGCTCACTCGATGAAAAAAAATTTCATCTTACACACAAACAAACAAATATCCTCTATATATTTTTGTTTGCCAGTGATAGCAAAGATATGACGTAACAAATCATGTGAAAGGCTGCCTTGGAATTGTGTAAAAACACAAGTGCTGTTGTGTGGTTCACAAGATCTTTGTTAAATCTAGTATTTTTACCATTAGTTTTTCCAACATGCGTATAAATCTCAAATCATTAATGAGTACTCATAACACATGTAAAACAATTAAATCTTCATACCCAAACACAATAGTATGAATAATCTACTAGTATATGTATGTCATACAAATAAACAAGTCAGTATCAACAGACTACGTTTAAAAGTACATTTAAAAAGCAATTGACTATAATTTAATGAGAACTTCTAATATACCGTCTGATTTACCAATCCGTCGTACATACATCTCTTTTATATGTCAACGATGTGGTAGTTTGTTGATTTTTTATTGGTAGACAATGTGACAAAACTGCCTATGTCAGTGAGATGGTCATCTTTATGAAGGTCAACAATATGACAATAGACTTACTCGGAATCAAAAATATTTTGGGTTTTCCCAGCTAATCCGTATAGGTACAAACAAACTTTTACAGTTACAACACCGAAAATATGCGTAACCGGTTAACTAATGTATTGTGATGGTGGTACACCGTAAAGCCATAACGGTAAATGAGCCGCGTCACGACAAAACCAACGTCATGCGTTTGCGACCAGCATGGATTCAGACCAGCCTGCGCATCCGCGCAGTCTAATCAGGATCCATGCTGTTTGCTATCAGTTTCTCTACTTATAATAGGGTTTGTAAGCGACCAGCATGGATCCTGATCAGACTGCGCGGATGCGCAGGCTGGTCTGGATCCATGCTGGTCGCAAACCCATTATGTTGGTTTTGTCGTGACGCGGCTCAAATATTTGTACCTACGGATTAGCTGAATATAACCAACATTTGCCGAGTTCCGGATAGAAATGACAATATGTCAATATATTTTATTAGCATTAAACATTGTACAAATGTTTATAGCAACAAATAATGAAAAAAGATTTCCAATACACATCTCATATATACAAATGATGACCAGTGCAAAGGCAAAAATACGTCCTATATATCTTCCATTAACATTAAAGAATGAAGTGCATCTCCAGTAAGCCATAAAGTGGTGAACACAATAGCAAACTGTGTTTACAAGACTAATGAACAGTATTTCTCTTTACGTAAGCAAAAGATATATTTTGCCAAACCCAATGAAATACATCTTCAGTAAGCATTAAAGTATTTCTGGTTGAAAACAATAGCAAATTGTGTACGACAAAAAATATTTCTCTTTAAGTTAGCAAAGTATATCTATTTTGTCAAATCTCTCTAAGTTAGCATAGTATATAAAAAAATTATTATATACTCTGCCAAATTTAAAAAATGCATCTTCAGTAAGCATTAAAGTATTTCTGGTACGAAAGTATTTTCAGACTGTCTTATATATTATATATCTCCCTGTTTCAACAAACAATTGATTAGATGAAACCCTTAATTTAGTGAGTGCTACTCGAAGTTTAGCAGTCCATATGCTATCTAGATAGTTCTTAGTCTAAATAAACTATATGCCTGTAGCTTACTAGAATTGTTAATACTAGAATACCAATGTTGATAATACAAATCAAAAATTCTTTGTTTTATCATAGAGTAGTTAACTTTTCCCTGGCTGTCCCATACATTACTTAATCCATGTTCTTGTAATTATTCTTTAAGCTGAAATGCCTAATTCCTACCATTATATTATGTGGAGTTATCTGCATCAGTTTTCAACATTACAGAACACTGTCATGATATGAATTTAAGATTTTAATCCAGTATTTGACCCTTCTTATCTTACTAATAATAAAAGGTGGCATCCTGCCTAACATCTATTTTCCGATGTCAACGAGGTAACTAATATTGACCTATGTCGTCGATGTGACCATCTTTATAAATTTCAATAATGTAGCCTCCTTCTTATGTCATCGATGTTGTCAAATCCTTTGATATCATCAGATCATAGCAACGTATATCCACTGTCCTCGAATTTTCTGAGCTCTAAATGGATATTGTTTCGTGTTCGGGATTGTATGACCAGTACTATATGTAAAAAGGTAAAAATTTAAGATTTTTTTAAATCAACAATTGAATACTGGATGTTGTATTCAGCTCTGGGGTTTGTTTATCCGGAGTACCATTGTTACTCAACAACCACTACACTATGCTTTATCCAACACCCAACAAAAATAGAGATTAACCATAACAAACATTGTAACAAGTACTAAACAAAACTATATATAATTTCTCTCCTACAAGCGATGTGATCAAATACAAATCATAGAGCAGGTAGAATAGGGATAACTCTTGTTAACATTTTTAAACTAGTTTGATCAGATCTATTTCCCTTGACAGTTTTCGTTTGGTGAATTAGGGGAAACGCAGATTTCTGCTACAGACAAAAAGGCATCGAACCCTTTTCATTGTTGTTTTCACAAAGCAGTCAAATTGGCATTCGTATGACATGATTGTAGTAGCTTTCAATTTAAATTATTATGTTTTTATATTAGTAAAAATGAAAAAATGTAAAAGACGTTTATTTGAATACTGCATGTCTTAAAAAATCTTGACTGAAAAGTTTAAATGGGGGTCCTGAAAGTGAGTTTTAAGAGCAGTTAACTCAAAACTTTAGGAAGCAATACCTCATTTTATTTCATTATTACCTTTGTTTTTGTCTTCCTTGTCATGATGCAAAATTTCTTCCATGCGACAGGTTTCATTCTATAGTTGCCTATTCAAAACTTTCTTCATTCTTTAAGAAAAATGCAGTAGGTGTACATGTACACATTGAAGCAAGAACTCACTTTTGGCTGATGAACCAAAAAGTAGAATGACGCGATATATTTTCATCAATTTCTTTCAATTATGATTTTCATTATTTATGCATATTGTAAAATTCTATGCTGTAGTTTAAATTTACCGTATTTGCCGTTGTAAAAATTTGCAATACTCCCAAAAAACGTCTTAAAGTGATTTCTTTCTCATAAGCTGTAATAGTCCAAAAGAATCGAAAAAAAAACTAAGCTTTTAAAACAGACCACGAACCAAGCCTTCGAAATGAACATAAATGGAAACATTTTGAATGAAGCGGTAGGCATTATCTTAAACTGGACACAATATTTTAATGATGTATACGCATCAAGTTTATATCCATCGCTTAAAGACTACAACAAAACCGAAATTTAAACAGAATGCGATGAAAGAAACAAGAGGCAACAACAACTATAACTTAAGCTTGGAATTTGTTTTCACAGAAAACATGGTATATTGTCAGAGAAATACTAAAAATCTGTGTTTAACAGGATTTGACAACGTTTGTACATGTAGGGCAGAAATCAGTTATATAAAAAGTTCAGTGGCTTTGTTTTCATAATTGCAATAGTTGAACTGATATTTCTTTTATAAAATTCATTGAAAAGTGATTCATTTGATCGACTATAATGATATATTTATTTAATTTCATACATTTTTTCTATACTGATAAATACATGCATATATCACAGTTTCTCATATTGTACACATAAATAGATTGTGCTGACAGATTGGCGAAATAAAGATATTGCTATTATCATCATTTATACATTATCAGACTAAATGATACGTCTTTCTTGTAGCTTGTATTTGGGTTAGAGCAAAAACAGTTATACAAGTATTATTAATCCATCATTTGTATTTAAACCAAATAAGATATACTAGTAAATATAAATATTTTTATATTTAGAATAAATTTTTTAATAATTTAACAAATTTAAGAAAATAACAACTTCGAAGAATAAAAGCTACGTATTTCAAGAAAAATATCTATTTAAGTATATTGAAGTATATATATAATGACTACAGGCAAATTGTAATCTATACTCTCAAATGTCAAGTACAAATTAATAAACTTTTAAATAAACATTGTTTTAGATATATCACAACGATTTATATTGCTTCAGCTGAACTATGTAGTCCTCGATATCACAGTGTTGTTTTGTTAGTGAGTTATTCATGGATTATTGTATATCGGCCGGTTTCCAACCTGCGTATGCAACGGGTGAGACTTGTTTCGTTTCCGGTGGTTTCGATGGGCTCATAAAATGCCTATTTTTGATTTCACTTTCGCCATGTTCATCTGTTGCCTCGCTTTTAACATTACCGGGGTCATCTTTAACATCATTGACATCTTTTTCCAAATCATTGACATCACCCCTTCCCTTATAAACGACATGTTCGCCCTTTTTATCATCTGATAAGGTTGATTCGTCTTTGGCGTCGTGTAGTTCGACATCATCCTCCAATTGCTGCATTTCTTCTTCCATTCTTTCTCTTTCTGATTGGTCCTTTTGTCTCACTTCTTTTATCATGTGTTTATTCTACAACAAGAAAATGCAATGTAGAATTATCATAAGATGGTGAATTAGCCTCTTTTAACGATCTCTGATAAACATAAATAACGATATACTGCAGTATAAATAAGAACGGACCAAAAAATAATAAACTGGACACCATGAGTAAAAATTCGTATTTCTACAGATAATTAATTAATTAATTAATTAATTAATTGACTGATTGACAGACTGACTGACTGACTGACTGACTAACTGAACAAGAAATTTGAGTAAAAATATGTTGTTTGCTCTTTTAAACAGGAGTGTGCACCAAACGTGGTAAAATAACATAAAAAAGAGTGATGAACTTCAAACTAAACAATATTCTTTTATTATAGGATCATTTATTTATTTTCATTTACCCATTTATAAAAGGAACATATGCCATTCGACACATCTCTACATTTGTCGATACTATACGGCTGAATAAGAGAATCCGCATCGTCAGCTATTTCTATATCTATATCTTCCGGCCGTCTTGTTACCACTCTCTTTTGTATATTGTCTGATCCATGCTTACCCAACAAATATTGTATATCTTCCCAATCCTGTATGTTAATAATCTTAATATAATTTGTAAAATATCTGATTGATAAATATCTAGGAAAAAGTGATAAAGTTCAATAAAATGACAAAAATAAAACACAATATTACAATTTCACATGATACATGTATATACAAAACCTTATAAACTGGTAACATGCACTTTTTCCAATGTCTTCTTTTTAGGCGATTTGTGAATAATATATACAAAATAATTTCGCTGTTCAATATCTATAGATATAATAAAATATATTTATAATAAAGCATGGAAACCGTGAATACTTTATACGAAAGGATCATTCTAAAATATTAAATAATCTACCTGCACATATTCTTTACGTTCACCTAGCAATAAATATGTTGACGACATGACATCATGAACAATTTTCGGCGGTCTTTTGTAGTTCCTTATTTCTATAATTGTCTGAGGGTCCATCTTTGCCATCGGGTGTCTGTGACCTTTTAAAAATGACAACGACAGATGACACAAAGTACATTAGTCTAACTAGGAACATATCTTCAAAATATGATAAGGTTATTGCTTATTAATCTGCAAAAGCCATCTTGCGACAGCTGTAAATCTTATCATAAATGAATTTTTATCTGATAAATATTTAGATTTAGGCGCTGTTTCCACTTGACGAAAAAGTTCGGCAAAGACGATTTATTCAGCGTAGCGCATATATAGGAACTCACAATGACATAAAGCCGATTGTTGTTGTTGTTGTTGTTGACTATGACTTTAATGAACTAGAGTAAACTTCACTTATAGCGGACACGGTTATAGCGAATTTTCGGATATAAGGAACTTTTTTGGCCCGAAATTGCCCTTCTTTATTTAAAATAAAAATATGGTTATAGCGAGCACAGTTATAAGGACTTATCGCTTAAAAGAAACTCATTTTTCAGTCCCAATTAAGTACAGAAAATTACATTTTTATAACAAACTCCAAACTGTGCACAACTTGATTCAGTTTAATAGATGAAATGTAATGTAAGATGACATTTCATAGTCCATAAGAATATAGTTGTGCATATATTCTGTGTTGATCTATCAAATTTAAAATTATATTCTAACTACCATTGTATCGTATTGTAATTTACTGTAGAACAGAAACTTACGTATGCAGTATGACAGGATCCTCGTGCTAAATTGACTTATTAGTGATATTTAAAAACTGTAAAAGAACATATGACTATATTTTATGATTTAACATTACAGATACCTTTCATTTTATTCAAGTTGTCCTGTAGTCGTTCTGCTTCGTTGATATCGTCTTGCAAGTCTTGTTGATATGTGGACCTCTTTGCCCTCGCTATCCACTTTTTGACAACGTTCACGTTACGTCCTTTTATCGCTGATCTCAATTCTATATTGAATAAAAATTTTGCGTTTATATATTTAATCAGCTTCCAATAAAACAATATCAACATAAAAAAGACCTATTTTAGTCCAGTCAATCTGTGACATAGGTCTGAATGCAATTTTGTTTTAGTGTGGGAAATGTCTTATTTTTGTCTTACTTTGAAAGTTGCCTTTGTGTTTATATTGTTGAAAGTTGTCTTTGTGTGGGTATTGCTGAAAGTTGATCTTTGTGTTCTTATAGTTGAAAGCTTTCTTATTTTTAAAGTTGCCTTTGTTTGGGTTTTGTTGAAAGTTGCCTTTGTGTGGGTATTGCTGACAGTTGATCTTTGTGTTCTTATTGTTGAAAGCTTTCTTATTTTTAAAGTTGCATTTTTGTGGGTTTTGTTGAATGTTGCCTTTGTGTGGGTTTTGTTGAAAGTTGCCTTTGTGTGGGTTTTGTTGAAAGTTGATATTTGAGTTGGTATTGTTGACAGCTGTCTTTGCGTTGGTTTTGTAGAAAATTATAGTGTAATAATTGATTAACAACTTGTTTTTTGTATTAAATCAGTTCTGCAGCACCAGCGCATCAACATAAGTCACATTTGTGGGAAAAAGAATTACGTAGTTGATACGTAGATCACTTTAGTAAGCATCGCTAAAATTAAACACTTAGATGCAGCGACTATGGCGAGAGCATCAGCGTGAGCCCTGGATGCTCACGCTGAATGTGTTTTGTCTCCAAGCATGACCTTAATCTGGATATAACGGCAATGGTCTAGAATGGACAACGGAGTCCACACATATTATAACAATAGAAAGGATGACACACAAGTGTCGACAAAACTTTTATAGTATATAACTCGCTTATTGGTGAAAAAAATGATAGGTTAAAAATTGGGATTGTTATAATGACTTTATTGAAGCAAATGTTACATTTAAAGTAATGTGCATTTGTCAACATTAAAATAGTAACTGAATGAGTTTTATATTAAAATACCTCTCTTTATTTCCCAGTATTGTTTCAATTTGTCCTGTCCTTGTACAAATTCACCATGATCAGGAACATTGTAACATTTATACACGTCTAGAGCGTCTATAAGAGCTGCTTCCGTTGTATGGTTCTTGATGTGGTACTCAAGTCTATTACGGAGCATTTTATCACGGTGTTTCTGTACACGGAAAATAAAAAATAAACAGCAAGATACTGTATACATACTTTAAAGAAGCAAAATTTTACCACTTCCTATGGTGGCTGATTTGGAACGCTTTTGTGAGTCGTGTTGCCGCTAGCGAAAGGACGACAAAGCACCAAACGGCGCGTTGTTGGACTTTCGTCTTGTCGTCTTGTCGCTAACCATGCACGCCAACGGCGCGATGTCACATTTTCGCTCAGATCAAATCGAAGGATTGGCCACAGGGCCAAGCGACAAGGCGATATCGCGACAAAGCGCTGCACGACAACGCGCCAAGTGGCTAGCTTCGCTAGAGACAAAACGACAGTGCGACAACGCGCCGTTTGGTGCGTTTCGCTAGCGACAAGTCGACAAGGCGATAACGATATTGGTTGTGTTGTCGCTATCGACAACCCAACGCACAAAATGGACCAAATCAGCCACCATAACTTTCCCTTCAATGATCATTTAATTTAACCAGTTAGTTCAAACTAAATTTTACTTGCATAACAGTAGTAATCTTTCCATTATATTATACATATTTCAAGGGTCTTATATTTGCAATTTAACTACAAGGAAGATTTATGATAACAATTCAAAATGTTTCATTTGACATTTTAATGTTAATAGTTTTACTGAACTAAAAGGAAACAGCGATTAAACTTTGATCTTTCGATTCACTCTTCAAATTAACGTGCAAAGATAAAAAGAAAAGAAACACTGCACCATTTGTATGAAATATCCTAAGTTACATTTATTGGTACTGATTTAGATAAAAGATAATCTTTTAAAGTAGCAGTTCATATCCAATTATTTCGGAATAGAATAAAAAATAAATTTTGTATACTATTTTACAGGAAAGGTGTTCTGCAATATTTTCAAAATATAAGATTGGAGCTTAAAAGTTTTAATTCAATATACAAAATGCAAGTATACTGAATATTTCTCGGTTTACATTAAAAATATATCAATGTGTGTGCTTTTTAGATAAAATTCAAACAATGAAACCAAATTAGAGCATAAGAGACAAAAAACGTTATTTATACGCGTTATTTTTATCTATTAACATTCAGTAAAAATATGTATGCTAGTTTGCCCATAAAAGAATAAATGTATCTAGGCAATATAATATAGTAATATTTTGGAAATGAACAAAATAATACCATGCCTATCAAACAGACAAACAAACAAACGTTTAGTTTAGTAAGTCAGACAGAGGTGGTTAATTAAATAATGATACACGTGTAATAAGCACTGCAAACGAATGATTGGAACAAAGTTGGAGAAGAAACATCCATGGAATCATATAAAAAATAAGTTAAGATAATTAAATGTATAACTATCCTTTTGATACAAAAGTTGCCAATCTAAAAAAACAACACTTTAAAATAGGTGCTACCATGGTGGCAATTGAAAGAAATGTACAACTTTTTAAGAAACACGACACTATCGAATACATTTTGTGTAATGTACATTTAAAATGTTTTGTTTTCGCTTATATCTCCTTAGATGTCAAGAATACAGATAAGAATGTGCAGCAGTAATGAATACAATTCAAAATGTCTGATGTTGACTTGAAGGAGGATTCGACTGGATGGGTTCTTATAGCAACACGATGACTTTTCGTCTGACTGTTGGAGAAAGACCTCAGATACATTCTCATACATTAAGTCACACTACCTTTGTGTGATAAATTCAACAGCCATTTAAAACGCCTTAATAAGCTGTCTCTGAATAGTGTTTAATCCTTAAAAGTTTTTTTCCATAATGGAGCAAAGGCTAGATTCAAATATTTAAAAGGATTCGAAACACTGGTTCCATTGAAACAATCGATATTGTTCCTTCTCATTTTATAATTTTATAAAGGTGTGTGTACAAAGGTAAATGTGTACCAATTTTTATTCCATACAAAAAGAAAACACTGAACTAAACAAAAATACACCCATCACAAAACACCAGTCGATGCACGTGCAATATCTACATTCTACATCCTTCAATTCTTAGTGATCAACGATAATGAGCGTGCCAATAATTTTGCCCATTAACATTTCTGACAATCCATGCTTTCTATAGTTTTTCTGTAAGTGACTAATCAAGAACGAGGGTGACACTAATGCATTGTTGTTTGTAGTCATATTACTTTTAGAAATGCATCACTAAAATACGTACATGTAGAAAATATGTTGTTATCTTATTTTAAATGTGCCGGTTTCGTCTTCTTAACCATTTTTCCCTTGTATGTTTGTGCTTATAGATTTAGGATCGTTGTTGTTGTTTCTTTTTTGGATGATTAAGATTTGTACTCTGTACATACAATAATATATAATTATAAAATTACTCGTTTCGAATCAAACTTATAAGAATATGACGCGGTGGTGAAAGAAGAAACGCCCCTCTCCCACCCATTTTTTCTGATTTGCAGTTTCCGAAACCATTTAAAACATATCTACATGTTGGACAAAAAAATATATTAAAATTCATATACATAAATGTAAATCTTTAAACATCATTGAAGATTGAATGAAGAATTGAAAATCTTTTAAATATGATAGATATACCTCAGGTAAACGAGCCTTTTCTCTCTGTCTAATGAGGTATACACACGCCTCGTCAAATACTTTAGAACCGGCTTCTCTACAGTAGATCTTTAATGCATAGAGACCCATCTCTGGGATTCTAACTCGAATCTGAACCTCACTGTCGCCTTTTGTACATTCTATCTGTTAAAACATATAAAATTGTCTGAAAGGCTCATAATGCTTCAAATGTTATCTTTACATTTTACTACTTTTATGATAAATAATTTCACATTCAACGCTACTTTCTTCCGGAAAATTAATAAGCATCTAATATGCTCTAAAACCATTATTTAAATGATATAAAACTCGTGTTTACTCTTTCAAAAGAAAAACAAAAATTAATAGTTTCTGAAGCAAAATGTGCCTTTAGGTTTCTTACGTACTGGTATATCAGAAAATGTAAGTGCATATCTTTTCAGTTTTAAATTAAAAGCGCATGTTATAGGTTGTTATTTCAAAGAAAGGCATATAAGCAGAATGAAAATGTATAATAGAATTTCTTTAAAATCTGCATGATCTCAGAATATGACAACAGAAACAGTTTAAGAGACACCAAGATTTTCCGAGTTATCTGAAGATAGTTTTCCAGGAGACTAATCTAGTATTGTCGAGTGCGTTGTTGCCATTTAACCTTGTACTAATACGAGTATTTGAAGGACAGAAAAGGATCATTCTTCCTTTCAGATAGTAATTTCAAATGCTTAAAACTATCATTTCCTCTGTATTTGGGAAATTTCGAGAAAAAGTTTAGAAAGAAATACGTAACTAACTTGTTCTACGAGTTCATAAACTGGGAGGAAATTATGTGTAAGTTGACAGGTTACATCCAGATCATTGTCCATCCTGAAGTACACATCTCTTATCTCCCCTGGTTTCATATAAATACAACTCTCAAAATGCGTTAAAGGTACTAGACCAAGACGCCGGCATCGTGGACCAGGCCCCCATCCATTCTCGGGAGAATCTGGCAGGGGCTCTATATCACCGTCTTCAAATTCTTTTTCAGAAATTATCCTAAATTGACATAACCGATGAAGTCCTTTGCCTGGTTTCTTGGATGACTTTTTATCTTTTTTCACTTGTTTATCACCGTAATCTCCATAAACGTCAAATAAATATCGGCCAGCTGTTGGAAAAGTCACCTCGAAAATAAATTTTGAAGCTTTTCTATTTACGAACACATATTTATCTAAATTGTTTAATGACGTTTCTGTATTATTGACTTCATTCAATCTTCCAATAAAAGTTGTTACAGAACTGACGTCAATATTTTCCATGTGTCTTTTAGGAAATCCTATTTCAACATCGAGTTTGCCATTTGCTGCTTTTGCTATTCCAGACTTTGGCGATAAAATCGACGTGTTCATCATGAAGAAATGCGGGCCAAAATAAGGAAGATTAAGAAATTGTTTCTTGGACATTGGCTGATCTAAAAGCTGCCAGTTGAAGTCGGTTGGGTAACATATTGTAGAAAAATCATCCGGGTCAGTCAGGAAATAGAAATTTTGGTCCTGAAAATAAAATAAACTACAATGGGTTAGAAACAAAAACAACATAGTTTCGCAAATTCATAATCATATGTTGACATTTTAGGAATAATTAAGGAGTGCATGGTACTCACTCATTTTACTTGGTGTAACTGAACACAAAATTCTAACGTCCAGGATGCCAATGTACGGCATTAACTCTGATATTGTACTCTCAACATTTCAGTTTTATTTAAAAAAAAAACAGATAACTACTGGTCCTTATTTGAATGATCTATATAAAGACAGCATGACTAAACAATTGATAATCTTAAAATATGTTGTTGTTTTTTTCTGGTAAATAACTTTGTCAAATACCTCTGCACCATCAGGACTGTCACGGTTTTGCATTGCCCATTCTATATGAGCTAAATGCCATTCCTCGTCGGTATACACAGCATTCCATTTTGTCTGCATGGAGTTCTCGGGCATTCCAATGTAGTATGATCCGTCTTTGCCTAGTCCTGTTATCATGTTACATGGAATACCTGATCGTCTGAAGTGAAATAAATCATAGTAATTACATATCTATACTTCCGAAGATCATTTGCAATTTCAGCGACTTGTAAGATTTGGTACAAGTAAAATGGTTTCCTGCAGTGAACATTTTAATGATATAAAGATATTTCATTTTACTATTTTCAACATTATTTTTTTTTTGGAGGGGGGGGGGGGGATAAATAAACGTTTGTATCAAGAATATAGTTGACAATTGAATAAACGATCAATATAGAAGAAGCTAGGTCTTTGGAAACTTATGACCGTTGAAGACCGGAGAAGGTCGAACATAAAACAATTATTTATTTTTAAGAAAATGATTAAATAGGCCTACCATTTTATGAATAATTCCGAGCAAAAAAATAAATAAAGTAAACACACAAGTTTACGCAGAAAATATCTCTATTTATTATGGCAGATGCCACTACGAATATTTGAAACTTTGTAGATTTTCAGTATAAACAATTTATTGTTTGTAAAATTTGAGATAGATATTAAAGAAACATTGATAATTTTCAAACACATCATTCAAGTTTTTCCACCTTAAACGGAAAATAATTATAGAAAATTAGAAAAATCACGTAATAGTTTTTGTTCTTAATTAGGGGTAATTCGGACTAATTCCCTACAGGTAAATCCGTAACGTACCGGCAAACGGTATTTAGCTAGGAGTTCGAAAAGGTCAATAAACCAATCATGTACGGTTTACAGATCACATGCTCCTCCATGTACCGAAAACAGGTCACGTGCTCCTCCATGCCTCAAAAGTTAAACGCGTACCAATACCCTGCGGTCTCCAGACCGCAGGGAATTATAACGTTTTTACGAAAGACCGGTGGGTACATTTCAACTTCATGAACATTGTGAATTCACGAAGACAAAATCGGGAATTAATGAAGTTTAAATATATAATCCTGGGCTAGATTTTATTGTCTTCGTTTCATCAGCGGTAAGAAAAAGCTTCTAAACACAATAATATTTTCTTACTTTCTTAATGATATCATATTGATTGCTGATATATGCATTTATTGAATTCCAATTACAACAGAATTTATGCACATCTTTTTTTTCACAAGTGAGACGATGTGGGAAGGGCCAATTTTCTAATGTTGTTAAAACCTGTGGCCCGACCCTTTTGCTTTTTAATAATAACTATAACATCCATGTAATAACTGTAAATTTATTCGTTACTGTTTTGTAGTTTGTTAGCATGTGACAATGTATCTGTATTTGTATAAAATTTAAAAGCAATAAAATATGATTAAACTTAATTTTCTTACTGAACGATTATAAATTAGGAACGGTAAAACTTTCTCGTGTATCATATAGTATTAGGTGAAAACAAATCACACCTGCACATAATTGTGAAGAAAGTTGTGAAGTCACCCCTCTGTTCTTTTATCATTTTCATGTATCCCCTTGGAGTGTCTCCTTCTTTAACCAGATCCAGGGCAGCGCTGTTATAATCCTGAGCTTTCATCCATAAATATATAGCTGAAATAAAGTAAAATCGTAGAACCATATGTGCCGTGTCACGACAAAACCAACATAGTGGGTTTGCGACCAGCATGGATCCAGACCGCGCAGTCTGATCAGGATCCATGCTGTTCGCTATCAGTTTCTCTACTTGTTATAGGGTTTGTAAGCGAACAGCATGGATCCTGATCAGACTACGCAGATGCGCAGGCTGGTCTGGATCCATGTTGGTCGCAAACCCATTATGTTGGTTTTGTCGTGACGCGGCTCATATGTAAAAATAGAGTAAAATTATAGAATTATACAGAGTCCAAAATATTTGGAGAAGTTGTATTACGATATATTGCGAGAACATAACTTGGTAATCCTTTAATTACAATTCTAGAACTACCAATCTAATAATATAAAAAGTGTGAAATTGAAAAATACAAATGCGGCACAGTTATAATACTTTTAATAGAGTACTAATAAACAAAAAAGGAATGAAAAAATACTCGCAATTTTTTCGTTAATATTGCTAAATCGTTGCACAAAGGAACACAAGTCTATAGAAAAAGCAGGGTAAGATAGATTCGTTCTCGCCAGTTTCCCTTTTTTTTCTAAAAAATAATAATAAGTTACAAGTTTTGTGTTGTAACTTACCAGTTACATGTTGTGTTTCTTTTGTTGCCCCTGACGACAAGTATTCCAGCAAAGTCTTGTAACTACCATCAGTCCCTTTTGGCATCTTAACAAAATGAAAAATAAAAAAAGAAAAATGACGAGTAAACTTTGTTTATATATTATGCTATTGTTTTGATCAAACTACACATACGCACAAAATAGAGCCGAATCGTTAAGAATTTCTTTGGGCACTGCAAAGCATAAAGTTAATCAGCTGTTTTTGAGAATAATATCTGTTTTGATTGCGATGGGTTAAAACGACGAACGTTGTGATACAATATATCCTAAAAGCGTGTACAACTGGTGTAATAGTCATACATAATGCAGCACCATAATCGTATTTTATTACAAAATAGACCAAGAATGTCCGGTAAAGCCTGACCCAGTGTTCACAAAGATTTAAAGATGAGGATCAAGATCAGGATCAAATGTAAAAACTCAAATATTCTCCATTATTTATCCTCATGGATTAATTTACAGTAACAACTTGATAAAACTGCACATGGCAGCAATAGCAAGTTTATGAATTTTTGGAATGAATTTATTGTTATTTTTACAAGATATGGGTATTTTACAGTTGATCCAAATTTTGATCTTGATCCTAAAATTGATCCTCATTTTGATCCGATTATTTTTGTAATTGTATTGTTATTTGTTGATTTTATCCCAAAACTGGTTGGTTTCTTTGCAAATAAGCAATTATTTATATTTCGAATATTTACCATTTAATTCTAGCATAATACAATCAGTTTTAGTTTTATAAAACAATGAAAATAAAATCACTATCAACTGATCCTGATCTTTTCTTTTTGAACACGGGGCTTGGTCTGTTCTATTCGCTATTCCACCGTAGGGAACGTGTTACAGTATCGCGTTTTTCGGTTACAGTATAGAATTTTCAAGATGGAGGATTATTTATGGGAAGAGAGGTAGGTGATTTTTATTCAGGTTCATACTACTATTAGTTTAGTTTCTAAAAGATGTTTTTGTGCTTTGCTTGTAAGGAACAGAATCCGGTATCTAGTCATATATTTCTTCAGACCCTGCACCGCGGATTTATCTCTATATTGTCTCATAAATGTGCAGATTTGACGGTTTAAAAATTTGAATCGAGAGACCATCGCATTTTTCTCCCATTCCGACATTATTTAAGCATGCCTTGATGAAGTAAATCTACAAAACGTTAGTCCTTTGTGTTTAGAAACGTTTATAAAAGTAAATGACCAGTTGAACCTATTTTCCTGTTGGTAAAATGCGTTTGAAAAAATAAACAATGTTACAGTATAGAGCGAGGTTAATTTTTAGGGGTTTCGTATCCCCGATTGCAACCGAAACCATTTGAACAACTTAATTGGTAGAAAGTCATGTAAATTTCATCACATTTAGTCAAGTAATTACTCAGCGGATGAGATTGCACACACATGTGTACGACAGACGGACGAATAGCCATCGGGCCAATAAGCTCACAGAGATTTAAAAGTCTATATAACATTCATACATTTAACTAGTATATAGATCTATAGTCTAAACTGTAACCGAAATCTGGGTATAAACTGTAACAAAATTGGATAAAAATCGCTAGGTATATGCAGTAACCCTGCACAAATCACCTCGCTCTATACTGTACCATTGTTTATTTTTTTCAAACGCATTTAACGAACAGGAAAATAGGTTCAACTGGTCATTTACTTTTATAAACGTTTCCTAACATAAAGGACTAACGTTTTGCAGATTTACTTTTTCTAGGCATACATAAATAATGTCGAATTTGGAGAAAAATGCGTTGGTCTCTCGATTCAAATTTTCAAACTGTCAAATCTGCATATTTATGAGACAATTTAGCGATAAATCTGCGGTGCAGTGTCTGAGGAAATATATGACTAGATACCGGATTCTGTTCCTTACAAGCAAAGCACAAAAACATCTTTTAGAAACTAAACTAGTTGTAGTATGGACCGGAATAAAAATCTCCTACCTGTCCTCCCAACAAATAATCCTCCATCTTGAAAATTCTATACTGTAACCGGAAAAGGCGATACTGTAACACGTTCCCTACGGTGTATTCAGTCAGTTTATATTTTGAAATTTTCTCTAAAATAATCATCGGTTTGTCCAGATTGAAAGACGGAACAGTCCGTAGCATGATTAGGGTTATATAACGGAGAGAACACTGCATATTCTTTCCTATTCTACTGATACTAAATATAAATATAAATTACATATATAAAACACACATGCACATGCAAACACGCACACACGTACTCAAACACGCACGAACGCGCGCACGCACACAAATAGTTATAAGGTACCGCATCAATTTTCTTCTGTATATCTGTGTTAACATCATCATCGTATAGTTCTGCCCTAGTCGAGTCTGGAACATATGGAGGAGGGTAGTTCTCATTCACGTCTGGGACGTTCCTCTATAAAACATTGCAACTCTTGTCATTTTTTTTAATTATCAAAAAATGAGAAAAAATGAAAATGGAAAGTTGTAGAGATGAAATGTAAACATATATAAAAGAATTCCCTTTTAACGCAAACTTTCATTACATGTATTATTTATTTAGTGACTAGGCTACTTATCCATCTAGCTACAACACTGTTTATCTGTTCAGACAACTTCCACTCATTTGAATTACTTTGAACAAAGAAAATGAATTGTCTTTAGCGACTTATTGTGCTCAAGTTCAGGTGTTTCATCCTTAAAACTTGTTACTACAATAAAAACCTAAAAAACATTTCTGACTATAAAGTCTAATAAGTCAAGAAAATTAAAGAGAAAAAATGCTCATAAGATTCCATAAACATCTTACGTAATCCACATTTTCAGTGGGAACCGTTTTCGAGTTTTTACATCCCATCGTGGCTTATTATGACTCATTCAGTCCCTTGTATTCCAATCCAAAACTTTAGAGAAATAATCAATACGTCATTAAAACAACATTTTACCAACATTAACAAATATCCTATACTTTTACCAAATAAATTCAAACTTGTCAATAATCAATAAAAGTGACAAAACGTGAAATACATTCACAAATAATGTTCTTGAAAAAAAAGATACCAAGATTATCTCTAATGGATATTGTTAAAAGGAAAACATGTTTTTCTAATCCCTAGCTACGAGTGAAAGCTGCGATGAAAAGACGCAAATATTCTAAATTAATCTGCCCTTTTTATAGAGAGATTCATTCGGATGGGGTATCCAGCTTTGATATTTGATTAACTTTGGCATGGTGTGCCTTTTTATATAAAATCTATGTATCTACTCGGGCGATAACAGATCGATTTAAATTGATAAATATTATAGAAAATAAGGCGTCATTTAAGATGAAGTAACATTCCATGTCAACATATAAACTACATAGGGTTAGTGTGACTTTCGAACTTCGTTCATTTCTTATTTTCATTTATTAATTCAATATATTGTATATTATTTGGTGAGAAGCTTATATAATTAATACTATACATATGAGAGACCAGTTGGGACATTTCAACGTCATGAATTCCCGATTTTATCTTTGTGAATGCACAATTCTAAATTCGCGAATTTACGTTTTCAACATACGGAATTTGCGATTTCATCTTCATAAATTCATTATCAACTTCACGAACTCACGTTTTCAACTTCTTGAATTCACGATTTCAACTTCGTGAATTCACGTTTTGAACTTCACAATTTTGACTACAAGAGTTTACGATTTCAAGTTTACGAATTTACGATTTCAGCTTCGTGAAAATTTTACATCATGAATTCAACTTAATGAATTCATGTTTTGAACTTCACGATTTCAGCTTCACGAATTCAAGATTTCATCTTCAGGAAGTAAAAATCGTGAATTCGTGAATTCGAAATCGTAAAGTTCAAAACGTTAATTCATGAAGTTGAAATCGTGAACTCGTGATGTTGAAATCCTGAATTCATGAGGTTGAAATATTGAATTCATGAAGTTGAAATTGTGAATTCGTGAAAATGAACCCGAGAATTCAAGAAGTTGAAATGTCATCACCGGTCTTTCTATATAGATTATCATATTTGTTCTTGTGTCTAATACACAAATGACTGTCACGTTTTTGACACTGTATTGATAGTCGGCATTAGATTAAAGTGGAATAGTTTCAACCGAATACATGCTTCTATGGATTCTAGTACAAATATATCCCTTGAGTTAGTCCGAAAATTATCAAAAATTTAGAAATATAGTGCTCTAAAATATTCACCTTAGTATAGCCCGTCTTGTGGTCCAGTGCCTTAAAAATGCACCCAGAACTTCAACATGTTTAATTAGTTGGACTTTATTTAAGTATTGCCCATAAAGGTCATAAAATAGCACTGAGAACAAGTAATTGTCTTGATACTCAGTTTAAAGCAATCTCTTCAGTTTTTTGTTGTTTTTTCTTTCTTTATTGTTGTTGTTGTTTTTTCTTCAGTCAAACGGACATTATAAATGTCACATGACGGCGCCTTTACATTTTAACTGTCGAAAGAGACCTCAATGGCCCTTCACGCATTATACTAGGCACAATCGGTCCTGAGTAGAAACACTGACACCCTATAAGCTACTTGGAAAGCTTCCTAACATGTTAGAATTCTATATTCAAACACATTAACATTTAAATATTTTACCTACCTGGTTACAAGTCATATTCCTAAAATTACACACATACACTTAAGCCCCTCTATTGTCATTGACATTGCATTAAAACAAAAAACCAAATATTTGACAAAACATTAACTATTAAGTCTATGATATCAAATGTCCTCTATTCTTTGTTGTTGTTCATAGTAAAATTGATTAAATTTAGTGGTCACGGAAAGTTTATGAAAGTTTACAATGCTTTGCAGCCATTCATAAAATTTACTCATCGAAGACGCCATAGGTAAAATGTCTGGTATTAAATACGCGTAAAACCCCAAAATATCTATACTATGTCCGCGAATGAATGATATATAACGATTTTTTCAATGCGATATGTATATAACAACAGTGAGACTTTATATTTTGAGACAATAAAATCATACATGACAGGGTATACACCAAAGATAGAAATAATGCGAAAATCTGGAAAAAAACGTGTCTGAATACTTTATCTAGCTATAGTGATTCAGAGAGGTTTAGATCCTTCAGGCCCCGTGTTCACAAAGATTTAAGGATCAGGATCAAGATCAGGATCAAATTTCAAAACTCGAATATTCTCCATTATTCATCCTCTTAGATTGAATTTCCAGTGTTAACTTGATAAAACTGGACTTGAAATAGCATCTTTATGAAATTTTAGAATGAATTTATTGTTATTTTTACAAGATATGGGTATTTTACAGTTGATCCAAATTTTGATCTTGATCCTAAAGTTGATCCTCATTTTGATCCGATTATTTTTGTATTTGTTCTCGTATTTGTTGATTTTATCCCAAAATAAGATAGTTTCTTTGCAAATAAGCAATTATTTAAAATTTGAATATGTACCATTTAATTCTAGCATAGTACGATTAGTTTTAGTTTTATAAGACAATGAAAATAAAATCAGGATCAACTGATCCTGATCCTGATCTTTTCTTTGTGAACACGGGACCAGATGCTCATCATGTCAGACAATCCTCAGTGTCCGTATAACTCAGTCTAGTGTCCGTATAACTCAGTCTAGTGTCCGTTTAATTCAGTCTAGTTTAATTATAGGTGTTTTATAGTTTTAGCATTCTAATACCTACAAAAGTTCCACCAGATAATTAAGTCAGGTGTATTAGTCCAAGCCAAATAACAGGGTAAGTAAGTGTGGTTGTTAGTGAGGGCAATTAACAGAAAAGTTAGGCTACATAGCAGGGGAGAGTTGGTCAGATATATCAAGTGTGTGCAAATAGCAAGGTAAGTCAGGTAGTTAGATGAAAAAGCAGGGTAAGTTAAGTCAGGGCAAACAGCAGGGTTTGGCGTCAGGTATCAAGTCATATATACAACGTTGTGGACATTTTACAAGAACAGTAACAAAAATACATGTTACATATTTCTAGAGTGTGATAGATTTAAGATAATCTGAATTATTTGTCCAAATATTAACATACTGCCCTGTTGTCTGCACGAATCTAGATCTGGTCTTTGTCTTACTAGACTAATCCCTCAGATTAAGGCCATCATTTCAATGAGTTTCTTTTCTTGTCATAGAATGTAGAGGACTGCATCAACAATAATTGGATAACACAAGGAATATCTATGTCACCTTGTATTGAGAACACTGAGAACTAACATTTGATTATACATCAATGTAAAAAATCAGATGTATGTGTGGCTAGTTACAGCCAAATAGCACCCGCCCTTGACTCACTGTACAATCAACAAAAAGAGAAAAACACATGTTAAAATTTTCATATTTATTAGAAAATGGTCTTTACAGAAAATACATCTTGGATGGAATATAATATCTTTGGCTGAATACCCAGCAAACATTATATTTCTATCTAATATACTTTAATCACAAGAAATTTGGAATGTTTGTAACAATTTGAACAAACAGAAACAGGGTTGTTAGTCACTTTTTCAAATGCACACAGAGAAGAAATGAAGGGAAGTTAATCTTACATGCCTAATTAAAAATGGCATTTTGAGTTACCTCCCCTATACAAATTTTTCTTAGTTATTGTGTCGCAGCAAATTTACAAAGAGAACTTTGTATATGTATTAAAGAACAATAAATTATTCATCATACAAATCTGATACAGGTAGATGGTGATGTATGTATATATGAAATATCAATACTGTAACAATAAAATTCAATATTCTAAAATTCATAATTTTTAATGACATTTTTTTTTCAATTTTTAACTGAGTGCATAAGATATATATTTCTAGTATAACAACCCATGTCTGATGAGTCAAACATAATATTCCTGCCAACATTAAATAACCACAATACCATGTATAATATGTTAACATTGTAAATAAACTACCACTATAATTCACAATTCTACAGTAGTGTGAAATGTTAATAAAAATAAAAACAAATAAATAACTCAGTTGATCAACTTTACCAGAAACTGAAAAAAAATGTCTTAAATTTTGCACCATTGATGATTTACAAATGTAGTAAGTTAAATTTTGAAAATTTAAAACCAAATAAACTGAACATTTCAGTTTATAGACAGAAAATATGTAGAAAATATCTATCAATATTAACCCTGTTTCCACGGTGATGTCATTTAATTAAATGATTTTATACATGTATAAATAGACATCTTTTCATATTTCCTCAAAATATTGTATATTGTTAAGCTGTCAAGATTGTACACAAAATGACACTTTGTAAGGTCATTTGTTTCTAACCTGTCAAAGTATCAACTGATCACATTTGTTTCTAATCTGTCAAAGTATCAACTGATCACATTTGTTTCTAATCTGTCAAAGTATCAACTGATCCCATTTGTTTCTAATCTGTCAAAGTATCAACTGATCCCATTTGTTTCTAACCTGTCAAAGTATCAACTGATCCCATTTGTTTCTAACCTGTCAAAGTATCAACTGATCACAATGTTTCAAAGTCAGGTTGAAGCCTAGAACTTAATCAGTACACTTGTTTACTTTTGTACTATTATTATGTACAGTATATTGAATAAAAAGCCTAGTCAAATATACAAAATAAGCTTACACACAGACAGTAAAATAAGCTTGGATGTTTCATATAAGTTAGAAAAGCATTGCTGGGACGTACATGGTAAAATGATCCCTCACAAAATATAACTAAGTCTGGAGAAAATGATTTCATTTTAGTTAATATATAATTGAGGCCATTCTTTTGAGTGTTTTTTATCATTAAATAATGGTTCTATTAAATTGAGCAACTTTTGAGCACTGTACTTTATGTTTACTAATATTTCTTCTGTAATATATAAAATATACTTTACTGCCAAAAATGCCTTTTTTTCACTCCTCTAACTAAACAAGATGTCATAGATCTTTTTTCTTTTCTTTTTATAACCATCACAAAATTACACTACATAAAAAGCTCTTAAAAACAGATTCAAAATTTTTCTAAAACAGCATTTTTTTTCTATATAATTATGGAAAAGTTTCATTATTCAGTTATTTTAAGATATGTCTATTATTTTCATTGCTACGTAGATTATCAGCCAAAGACACTGATGACACAGCATCATATAAAAATATATATAACATTATAAATTCAATCACATGACACAAAAAATATTCCCACCATCTGATTGCGAGAGATATACAGGTAAAATAATAAGACAATGAAATAAAAAAAATACATAAATAGTGAACAATAATAACATTATATATTAACATCAGTAACATCATTGCCAACAGGTACAACAACACAGATCTGTATCAGAAGTTTTCAAGGCCAAAATTACAAAATTGATTTTACTTTCCAGAGTAAACACAATTTGGCTGCCCATGTGTCTATTACTTACATGATCTCAGTATCACCATTTATGCTATAAATGTAAATTATAATTCCAAGTACTTCCAAGTACTTCATGTGCTTATATAACCTGCATGATTTCCATTCAGTCAAAGCATGAAGGAAAAGATTGATCTTAAAATATAACATAAATTACATATGTCTCAAACTCCTTGCAGCAGTTACTTCCCCTCATCAGTAGAGAAACCATTGCCATAACAAGAAAAATTTGGATGTCACAAAGCTGCATTATTTTTTCACTATTTTCTATAACTTAAGTTTCTATGATTTAATCATTATGCACAATGCACCAAAAGTAAAACATAAATGTAAAGGAGAATAGTTCATAAAAATAAGTATTCTTTACCGTAACAAATGGTCACCATTTTTTGGTCACATGATCATCTTATCATACGTATGTTATAGTGATGGCATTGATTAAAGAAGCAAAGCATGAGGTAACTAATGCAAGGAGTTTGATGAAGTACAGATTCTTAGCATATTTAACAAAGAAAAAAATGATAAAAGATCTTAAAAATGCTGTCACTTATGGTCCCTCTACGATAGAAATATAACAAAATAAATAAATTACAAGTTTGATATGATTGTATTGGTCTATTGTAATTACATGGTTATTCCAATAATATCTTAACTTAGAATGTTTGATGAAGTATAATGATTACCTCCCTTTACTAGTCTGTCCCTCCTCTATAACACGCCAGTTCTTATATTCATTAAAATAAAGACTTTATAAATATCAACATGAACAAAACAGAACAATCTGAGCTAAGAAATGTAACAAATTGATTCTGTTTTAAAACAGAACTATTATGAAATTTTTCTATACCCCTTTGAGTTGAAGAAAATAAATAATAAATGATTGAACTTGATTTTATTAAAAATTCAAAATGCATTTAGATATGAAAATTGTATTTTATGTTCTTGCACCATTTTTTTATGAAATATTTAATGCATGATTTCAAATAACAATGATGTAATCATGTATACTCCATGCTGCCGTTTTGACACTTAATATAGGGAAAAGTAGAAAAATCTATTTTTAGGCTTAGTGACCTTGTAAAGGTTAAACACCACCAAAAGGGTCGAGATTTATAAAATGTGCCAACATATCAGCCCGCAACATACCAAATATCTAAGATATCAGTTAACAGAACATTTCCGGGAGTATGAAAAAAAAAAATACCCTTCTCAATCAAAAATTTTTAGAGCATTTTTTTTTTATTAATCCATGATCTATAAATAAACATTCAGCTAAGATGTCATGCTGAAACAAGTTTTATATCATCAATAACTCACACAATATTTCTGGAATCTACAGCCATTTTGAAAATATCAACTTCACAGATAGATATAAAGTATTGTGACCTGGCACAACATTAATGTACAACCCATGATAAAAATAAGCATTTGTTTCAAATTTAATATATTTATTGGTATATAAATGGTACATATAGAATATATAACTGCTTCAACATCCACAAATCTATTCATTTACAGTCAAATCAAACATTTTCTGAAGGACTCTCATTTTGATCATAGCAAAAAAACAACAACAAAAAACAACCCTACAATATCAACATAAAACCCCATATTCAAAATAAAGTAAATTCTTATCATTTTTATTTTATGTTCTATAATAAATTTTCAAGACAACATAAAAGACTAAGTAGTCTTAAGTAAGTTTGTCATTTTCTTTGGGTTTTTTAATGGAGTATTCATAGAAGGTCATGCCTGCCTCAGAGCATTTAACAATTTTTTGTTATTTCAGGCACATGATGACACTGTATAAACTTCCTAAACTCCCCTTATAAAGACTTTTAAACTAACTTAATGCGCAGACCGTCTTGCTAAACTTTAACAACAAATTGTGTCATGCAAGTCCTAAAAGTTTGTTATAAATTTTGAACACTATCAACATTGTATTTTTGTTATCAAAATTAAAGCCGTCAACAAAATGTTTAATTTTACAGCAGTTTAGAAACACAACAACAGATAGAACAACACAATGTTTTATAAAATAGTCTCTACACCTACAAATAACTATAATAATAGACTAAAAATCAATAGAAAATTTAATTCATTAATAATTCTATATAATTATATATTATAATCTAACATTAAACCTGATTGGAAATTAACAACAAAAAATACTTCAGTGACAATATTCCACATGATATTAGAGTAATATGTATGCCAGGTATCGTACACAATTTTGAGATTCCAACATGAACGGGTAGCAAGACACCAATGAAAGTCCGTGTCCTGGTACAGTACACTCTTTTATCAATTAATCCAATAAATCAAACATCTCTCTTATCATAAAACAATAACCAGGGTCATCTATATCTCAATATATATAACCTCGAAACTTACAAACATTTATGAAACTATCCATTTCTAACTGAAGGGAAATTTCAAAAGTAGGAACAGGATACTGGGTAACCAATTGTATAGTCTAAAGAGACTGCGTGGATGAGTTAGCCAGCCAGACTGTATACTGTTGGCATAGCTACTTCTTTATAATTCCTACTCCTCAATCACTATCCTACCAAATGTTCCTGTATTGAAAGGATGAGTGTTTTTATTCTACCAATACTTTCCTAAGATGATGATTTAACAATACAAAAGTGACACAAATACAGTTAATAAATTATGCATTTTTTTTACATAAAAAAGGTACATGTAATATTTGGAATGTTGATTGTAAAACATACAAGACTGATACCAATCTAATTACACAAATTTACCTAACAGACCTATACAAATTTAAGATGCCAAAAAATTATTCATTTACATTATCGTACATTAATTGAAAAATAAATGAATTTTGAACAGCAAGTTTCAGATCAAATGTTCATGTCACAGCTAGACAGGCACTTTGTGATGTGGAGATTTTTTTACTTAAAATAAATCAATGATTTAATTAATGCTTTAGTTAAAATATGTCATTAAAAGTTAAGTGATTAGAAGTTGGAATATTAAACAATTACATATGTGAAATTGTAAATATACTCATACTGAAGGTGTAAAGGGGAGCTGTATGACCACATACAAAGTGGGCCCTGTCACATTTATACAAATCAAATTATCTCTTAGTTACATGGGACTACAAGTTACATCTGGATAAAAATTAAACATAGATTTGTAATGACACAAGTTGGTAGAAAAAACAATCATTACTTGAATTTGTTATATCAGTTTTAAACCTGATTAACTTACTTGTGATCAACTTCATACCAAATATATATAATTCTATTGCACAGGAGGATACTTATTTCCAAAACAAAACTTTCTTTGGATAATTGAAATGAAATGTATGATAAAAAAAACAAATCTTTAAGAAAAACTTGTTCCCATATTCAAATGTATTAATGAAGACATCAACAGCTGTAATATCAGAACAGATGTTTAACTCACACAGCAATACAACAAAATGTGTTTAGCAGATGTAGTAAAGAGGATAAGTTTAAGACCTCAATTATCATTAGGCCATCAATTAAGCTACAGTTTTACCTGTATAAAGCTTTGGACCTCAAATATCATTAGGCCATCAATGAAGATAATCTACAGTTATAGCTCTATAAGAATTGAAATAATAAGCAAGCATATACAACAGTGACCTAAAGTTTTAAAGAATTATATTGCAGACGGATGAGAAAGTAAGACTAAGACATCAATGATAAAAGAAGCAATCATTGACTAATGATAAGCATTAACTATTTCAATTCTGCTTAATCTAATAATTGAAATTTATTCATATCTATATATCTATTAAAAAAAGTCTTCAAGTATCAAAGTCAAGTGAAGAAAACAGTCGTGACTGCATTATGGCTAAACCTGCTATACTTTAGATTACTCAGATGTTCAGATTGACTCTGCCCTGGTAATAAAGGTCTGTTTTTACAACTGGTAGAAGAATGAAAGTATGATAAACAATGCAAAATTAAGAGAAAGATTGTTTCAGCATTATCTGCCTGTATTCTTAAACTTTTATACAGAGCAAGTATACGTAAGCCCAAAGAAAGAATATTTAAAGCTTGATCATTAAAGTATGTAAATGTTGCTTACACATTTGGTTTAATATCAATGCTGTGTCAAGAAATAGACTAATGGTTATAGATTTATTTGAATATTTATGCTAAGAATTAAAAAAAATAAAAAATCTCACATTCAAACAATACAGTGGAAAATCTGCATCCCAGACACTTATCTGTAGTCTGAAGTTCCTAGAAACTTTCACGTTAGAAAAGCCCAACTGGCTTGAATTACATAAATATAAAGACATGATTGAAAGTGTAAGGTAAAAGATGTGAGTTCTAAAAAATCTAAGTATTAATATGTATATAAGGCAGCATGGCATGTGAATTTTTCTAATGGGAGATTTTAACAGAACTAAATACTCATATACTTTTAACAATAATATTTAACTTAAAACTCAAGTGTGAGCACAAAAAAGTGTGATCTTTGAACATCACAAGAAAATGGTTTACTTCCAGAGTTATATTTCTTAAGAATGGTCCAAATGTAATTAAATAAGAAGCATTAACTTTCTAAAAATATATCATATGTAAAATAGGTGTCAAAAGACAATCAAAATAGCTATAGCAATAGATTTAAATACTAAAAACTCTTATAATTCAGAACAAGTTTATACATAAATATATGTACCAGCATTACACATGTTTACATGAACATACATGTAGAAATACATAACACATATCTGCTTACAATTATGCATACAAATGTACACAGCAAACAATTGTTTGTGTACATCTGCATATAACTAAGTGCAATACACTTTTATGCTTACATATGCATACAAATATAATGTGATACACTGTTATTACACATTTATGTCTACATATATAATGGTTCAATACACGTTTATGATTTTGCTTAAATCAGCAGCTTTCCTATGATATGGTTATATTAGAAATCAACAATTAATATATAAATTACTCTGTATTTGTGATAAATTTTTGACAATTTAAGCAACACAATACCGCTGTTATAGCATCTTACATTGTGTAAAACATGTGATATGTCACTAAGAAGTACAGCTCAATATTCCTATGCATTAATTATATCATAAAGCAATGCTCAGTCTGTGCTCCTTTCTTTCAACTTGGTTTCATGTTTCCAAAACTTGTGTTTGTTGACCAGTCAATTAATCCAACCTTGTGATTGGTCCATTTCAAATCTGCATCAACCAATCAGGTGTTGACAATATCCACTATATAAACCCTTGTACATCTACCACAATCAAAATGCCTTTATTCCATCTGTTATTAAACCAATATAAATACAGGAACTATTTTTTTATGGTCTATCACATTCCTTCTTACACAATTTAAACTTCTCGATGTTTTTTTCTTTTCGGTCTCAATCAACTTACAACAGATTTTGTTTTTCAAAATTTGGAACAATACAAACTGTTATATTTGTATATGCTTATCATTCTTTGTTTGAAATTTCTTCTTTCAATGATCACCTATACAGCACAAGAATCCTGTCTACTGTAACTTGGTCCAATATTTTATGCCATTGCAACAAAAATCCATACAATTCCTTCCAAATAACTAGATAAACCAGAAATTAGTATGGCAGGCCAACACTGTCATGTTTTGCCACTTTTTTCATATCAATGCAACAAGATGTAAAATGATATTTATTTTGAGAGTTTAAAAAATACTTGGGATATCACTGTTTTCCGATGGTCACTGTGCATGGTTTGAGATTTATATACATGATGATTTAATGATGATCTGACATGGTCAGTAGATGATGAAGTACGATCATGGTGTCACCATTACGGTTTCCCACAATTCTGTGCTACAACTCAGCTTTGGACGTGTCGCTGACTATTTCTGTATGTCCTCCAAGAGACAATTTATAAGTTCTTTTACCCCATTTAATTGTCCTTGGGGAGACGAGGGCCTCAAAAAAGACCCACACAGCTAGAATTTCTCGCAGAATCCATGCAAACAGGTACTGTATTTTAGAAAATGGAGGACTGCCTTGCTGTAATAGAAAATAGTTTTTTGTTTGGTAACTGCACTACAACAACTGGAAGACAAGCATACTATTATCTGATATTGTGAAAGAAGAAAATTTTTAAAAACTTTTCATTTCACTTGGAACTATAGATATGATGCCAAACAGAACCACAAATAACAATAATATTAAAGTTTTTACATAATCTAGTCATATTAACCCTTATCACAATAAAATATTTTCAATTGACTTGTCCATATATGTCTATTAGGACAACACCAGTCCTCATTTTTAGGGAAAATTACAAACTTAGTACTGACTCTGTCTGAATAGCGGACAGTGCAGACCACAATTATACCTGCTGATCGTGGTCTGCACTGGTTACATGGGTAGTTATATTTTGCCTATAGCAGGATAAGGGTTAATATCATTTAAAGAATTTAAACAAAAAAAATATGAATTAAAAAATCATACCAGACACAAAAATTAAATCAAAGAAAGAATGGAAAGAAACATTATTGTAAAAGGCACATCTAGAAAAAATACTTGTATAGGTGGCTTGCAGTTCTAACATTTCTGTGAAAGGTTAATTTGCATTTTTAACAACTAAAACCACCTGTGTAAAGGGTATTTAAAATGGCAAAATGATGGCAATTTCAATTTAATAGGATGCCAAAAAACTTATTTCTAGTTCCCATAAACATAAACATTTTTTTCATAAATAACCAAATAGATCAATATAATTCTAAGCAAAAGAAAATGATAATAAATTAGGAACAGTATCTCTGGATAAAGACTAGAGAGAGTCAAAGTTCAATACTCAATCATTGTTAATGTCATGGCATAAAAAATGTATAACAATTTTTTTTATTATACTTTTTGCAAAAACTGCAAACCATCTATTTTGTAACTAGATTTTTCCCCACAAAGGGTGCTTACTTTATAATAAAATAAGCATCCCTGGTTCTTATTTGGAGTTTGTAGATTCAACATCGAATGTCCTACCTGCACCATGCGTAGTAGTAGATAGTCTGATACAAGCCATGCCACTATATGTATCGAGAAGAAAATATATGGGTTGATCCCGAGAAAATGATAAAGTGACCATGCAGCATATATCCCTATAGGAATGCATTCCGTCAATGGTTCAAAGAAACCGCTCACCAGGGGAATCATGTTCAAACGTAATCTCAGCCACCTGAAAATGATGAATAAAATAGTAATTAAATGATTACATTACATCTAAGTTAATTACTACCAGTATTATAATCCACACATTATTTTTTAATGAAACTTATTTTTTTGTTACAGACAGTAAGATATTGCATTATAAAGCAAAAGATACTCATGAAGAGAGCAGACAAACTTATATCAAAGACAAAATACATTTCACATTTGATATTGTCATAACAATTCATGTAAATGGCCTTAACATATGGCATTACCAGAGGAGTTTCATCTTGACCGGTTAATCTCAAATTATATATATTGCTTTTACATATCCAGGGTTGACAGCAAGATTGTTGAGAGTCCATCTTTTTTCTGCAGCACTCAAACCTCCATATGTGCTTTATATACACCAAACAAAATATCAACATCTTTCAACAGTTTTTGAGCACAATCCATTTATAAATAATTTGAGAAAATAAAACTACTATATATCTAATGTTTACATTTATAATTACATTTGACTTCAGTGTTTTGATACACTTCGAGACTACCTATTCCAGTACTTTTAAATGATAATAAAAAGTTATGTAATTAAAATATTGATCTTGGCGGTCCTTTAGATTAAAATTCCCCACTTTATTTGTTGACTTACTATCTTTGTGTATTTTAAAATCAATCCCGTTCTTATTTGTGTATGAAATCTGGCAATGTATCAAATGAACTTTTTATCAGATAATGACAAATGTCACAGACAATCATTCTGGAGTCTTGCCTTTGATCTTTCTTTTTTTATATAAAAGAAGTGGTGGCAGATGTCTTTCTTTCTCACACATTTCTCAGCATTGGGTTAATTTAACAACCTTTGAATTAATTGAGACAACTAATTAGAACAGCTTTTAGTTAATGTATGTTGTACAAATGGAAGTTCAAATGGCTCACAGCCAATCAAAGGCAATCAAAACTGTTTATTTTTACTTAAGTTGGTCACCTACCTGACCATTCTGTTTTTGTACCCCATGACCTCTGTCTGTGCAAGATTTTGTTGAGCTGGATATGCCGACAGAACTAGTCTATAACCCCTGCAAATATGATATACAACAAATAAATAACCAGTCCAAAATATGATATACAATAAATAAATAACCAGTCCAAAGTATGATATAAAATAAATAAATAACCAGTCAAAAATATTATATAATATAAATAAATAACCAGTCAAAAATAAATATCTCTAAGATCTTAAGAAATCAAGTAAGAAAAAGCATGAAAACAACTGCTTAAATAGCATAAATTAGTTTGTAACATATAATATAGCATTTTCAGCAAAAATATTTACCTTTACTTAGCATATTACGTATTTTACTTTTATACAATTAGTTTACACTTAAACTGGGGAAAATAACCAATCCCTGACCATACATTTCAACACCTAACGTTATCAATCAAATGTTAGGACTTACTTTTCATGGAGAGCATATGTCAGGAAGAAGTCCTCCGCTAGATATTTGCCGTACCAATTAAGACCATGCACCTCATCTAATAATACCTTCTTTACCATGTATGACATGCCAGTAGCACAACACAGTCCTAACACATTGAAAGCCAGGTAGTAACGAGCAAATGCTCCACCAAAATATGTCTGTAATGATAAATAACCGGAGGTTAGATAATAGTTATGATAAATAACCGGAGGTAAGATAATAGTAATGATAATAACCGGAGGTTAGATAATAGTAATGATAAATAACCAGAGGTTAGATAATATTAAAATGGTACGCCTTACCAAGTTACCATTATATACGAGTAATAGTTAAAGATGCTTTAATTTCCCTTCCAGGTTCTATACTGAACAAAATAAAATTTAAACTTAAAACTTATAATTTTTTTTTAAGAAAATTATGGATGAAATACATCTGCAAAGTGTTGTTAAAATAATAGAATGCCCATAATAAGGCTTTTATTCTACTAACGACTTGGGAAAAATAAAGAAATGGCATGAAACATGAAAATAACAACAACAACAATCAGACCATTGTTGAACAGAACTTCTAAATAATAATATATTGATAAATAAATTGTGTGCAGAATACCAGACCATACCATTCTCTTGTATAGTCCAGTAAATACTACCTTACAAATGAATAATTAAGGTATATTATTTCCAACTGGGTGACCACTTTACTGGATTTTTCCTAAATAAGTAAATGTAGATATATTAAAATGATGCTTACTTTCTCTAGTGCTTGAGCAAAACCTTTATGATCTGTTGTAAAAGGCATCTGATGACACAGAGCTACGTTAGGTTTCTGTAACTTACATACCATGTCCAGTAAAATCTGTGTGTTGGCTGAAATATATACGCACATATTTGTTTGTTTGTATGATTGGGTTTTACATCACACCAACACAGTATAGGCCATATAGTGGCGTTCCAGCTTTACTGGTAAAGGCACGAACGGGCACCTGAGTAGACACACATCTAAAATAATCTTGTCCACTGCTTTTTACATGCAAGTGCTAACAACAACAGTAAGTCGCACTACACAAGGAATGCAGTTTTATCTATCTATTTTCATATCAAATATATCAAACAATAATGAACAGTTCCAAAAATAAGATTTGAGCTGCATCACGACAAAACCAACACAAGAGCCGGTTGAACCGGGTGATGCTCCCCGAATAGGTTTTGGACACAGGAAGGTTTACCTCTTGTTGTGTCAGAGTTATGTCACAGACAAAGTTCAAAGTGTAAAAACAACCCAAATATTGTGCACGACACATTGTCTCAATATGGTGATCATTTTTGTGAAATAGTTGTTAAATCCGACTTCCAGTAACAAAGTTATGGGCCGGACGCGATTTTGCTGCAAGGTCATACCGTGACCTTGACCTTCAAGGTGTAGACCTTAATGTTGCGCGCGACGCAATGTCTCATTGTGGTGATCATTTCTGTGAAATAGTTGTAAAATCCAACTTCAAATAATGAAATTATGTGCTGGACACAATTTTGCTGCAAGGTCATGCTGTGACCTGGACCTTAAAGGTAGCGACTTTAATGTTGTGCATGACACGTCATCTTAGTATGCTGATCATTTCTGTGAAATACTTTTTAAATCCAACTTCAAATAGCGAAGTTATGGGCCGGACACGATTTTGCTGCAAGGTCATGCTGTGACCTTGACCTTCAAGGAAACGACCCACATGTTGTGCGCGACACATTGTCTCAATAAGGTGATCATTTCTGTGGAATATTTTTTAAATCCGACTTCAAATAACAAAGTTATGGACCGGACACGGTTTTGCTGCAAGGTCATGCTGTGACCTTGACCTTCAAGGTAGCGATCCAAATGTTGCGTGCGACACGTCGTCTCAATATGGTGATCATTTCTGTGAAATATTTTTTAAATCCAACTTCAAAAAACAAAGTTATGGGCCGGACACGATTTTGCTGCAAGGTCATGCTGTGACCTTGACCTTCAAGGAAGTGTCCCCACATGTTGTGCGCGACACATCGTCTCAATATGGTGATCATTTCTGTGGAATATTTTTTAAATCCATCTTCAAATAACAAAGTTATGGACCGGACACGATTTTGCAGCAAGGTCATGCTGTGACCTTGACCTTCAAGGTAGCGATCCAGATGTTGCGCGCGACACATCGTCTCAATATGGTGATCATTTCTTTGAAATATTTTTAAAATCCAACTTCAAATAACAAAGTTATGGACCGGACACGATTTTGCTGCAAGGTCATGCTGTGACCTTGACCTTCAAGGTAGCGATCCAGATGTTGCGCGCGACACATCGTCTCAATATGGTGATCATTTCTTTGAAATATTTTTAAAATCCAACTTCAAATAACAAAGTTTTGGACCGAACACGATTTTGCTGCAAGGTCATGCTGTGACCTTGACCTTCAAGGTAGTGACCCAAATGTTGCGCGCGACACGTCGTCTCAATATGGTGATCACTTCTGTGAAATAATTTTAAAATCCGACTTCAAATAACAAAGTTATGGGCCGGACACGAATTCGGGACGTACGTACGTACGGACTGACGGACGGACGGACGGACGGACAACCCGACGACTATATGCTCCCCCCAAATTTTTCGGGGAGCATAATAATGCGTTTGCGACCAGCATGGATCCAGACCAGCCTGCGCATCCGCACAGTCTGATCAGGATCCATACTGTTCGCTTACAAACCGTATAACAAATAGAGAAACTGATAACGAACAGCGTGGATTCTGATCATACAGCGCGGATGCGCAGGCTGGTCTGGATCCATGCTGGTCGCAAACCCATTATGTTGGTTTTGTCATGGCGCGGCTCAAGTGTCTTATTGGTCAAAAATAAAACAACAGTGAAAAAGATCATAGAATTTATTTTTGTTAAATGACACATAGAAGTCATAGAATTTTATTGCATAACTGCCAATTTACTCTGAATGTAAAATTCACCTTTGATAATTTCCTTCCATTCAATGCCAAGTTAACAGCATTAGGAAGGAAAATGATAGTTATATTTTTGAGAATTATTTTCAAAGATAAACATTTCAAAAATATAACTGACTGTCAAATCGACATCAAAAGAAAAAGCAAGTAGCATGTATATATTTTTTAATAATTTGTAATTTAATGAATCAGTAGTGAAAAATATTTTGTATACCTTTTATTCTACTAGTGCTAATCCATATATATTCATACTGAGCATTGTCATAGGCTGGTGCCATGTTATTTACCATTGGATTTATAATATCATCTTTTCCTCCTGAAAAATATAAACCAGTCTATGAAATACTCTTCAAATAAGGAGAAGAAAAAAATCACTTTTATTGCAAAAAGAAATATGATAAGCAATACAATTAAGAGAAATCAGGAGAAAAAGCAACAAAAGAAATCATTTTACACGGAAAAAATAATTTTTTCTCGGAAAATGATCTTTCAGGGCCTTAATATCACAATAACTTGAACTCCAATCAATAGTGTTATTGTATGTTATTTTTAATTGGGTCATTTATAAGATAAAATTGTGTCAAGTTACAAGATGGGAAATATTTTGAATTTTAATACAATTTTTCTTTTTTGTATTTCGCTGTATATCAGAATCTTAAACAAGCCACAGAATAACTATAAACCTAGCATATGATAGTCTGTAAATAATAATCAATGATAAGATACCAGAACATTTATACTTACATTGACATAACTTTTACATTATCAAAGCAACATACAGATATGTTTTATGTGAAAAACTGACACCATTGCATTTTTTTTTTCTTTTCAAAAACCACATCCATTCAATATAAAACATGATGATAGTAAAATATACAATATGCAAATATATTTCACATTCATTTGGCAGTTGTTGTAAAGAATAAATCCTGTTATAAAATTTTGATTTCTTATAAGCACTCCCTTCTACATAGCCACAACTGCATAAGTAATGAAAACCCAAATATTTATTCAAAATCAACTGGTAGATTTTACAGCAAATTAAATTTCACAGTATGTTAAAATCACACCTACATATTTATCAATGATGATAAAAAATAAATTTACTTAAATTATGCTAATATCATTCTATAAAAAGCTAACTTGACAAGGAAAAAAAAAGAATTCTTAGTAAATGACTGGTATACTGGTAACATTTTTTTTTAGGTTGTAACGGTTACAACACTGTGCTTCGATTGTTAACCTTCCTTTTGGAATTTCGAATTTTTACTGAAACTATAGTTAAGAAGTTCATTATCAAGAATGAGTGTTTGAAGCTTTATTTAAAAGCTTTAGAAGCAAGAACAATTATATCAAGAAAGGAAGGGTTGTCAAAACAAGAATGTTTAGGAAATTTATCCAATACTTCATTATACTGAAGTCAGTCAATTGTTTCACTTAAATCCTTTAATTTTATTTATATAATAAAAAAAGTTGAAATTAAATATAAATATCTATACATTACCTATAAATAGTTTACAATCCACTTTAGGATATCTTTCTTTCATTTTATTAACAACATTTATTGCAGGGTCTTGATCGTCTTGTACGCAACACAAAATTTCAAGCTGAAAATATACAAAATATATGCCATTGACTATTTTTGGTCATTAGATAATTTTTTGTAAAATGTCTTTTTCTTTCATTAATCAATGATTAAAAGTTCTTTACAATTCTATGATCAAGTTAAAAAGTATATTATAGTATAGCAATGAAACAATCCTTTAAAACAGACCATTACCTACTTCCCCACCCCTATGTTATACAAGTACAAGTTAAAAATACCAGTATTCTACAAAATGACTAAAGCAAAGCATTAGACCCCCACCCCACATTAATTCTCACCTGAATTATTTTAATTTAATCTCAACTGTCAAAAATTAGTTTAATGCTTTTGCCCTGCTTTGATATTTTTTTTTAAGAAAAAGTCAATTTAAAATAAAAGGGAAATAATTATGCAAAAATGGCTTTAAGGATTATCTGCCCCATAGGAATGCATTTCAAATATGAAAGTGAACAAGTACATCAAGTTTAAAGTGAAAATATTTTTGTTTTATAGTTTTTATTTCCTTTCTACAATGAATTCACAGCGTAATTTTCAAAAGGCAATTTACTAATGCTTGGCATTAAAAGAAAATAAAACTCAATGTGCCTTTAAATTATTTGATTTTATTTCATTTTAACATATAAATTTTGTTTATTAAAAATAAATATCAAAATTGAATTGCTTTATCATTCTTGTATGGAATTAAATAGTTTGATATTGTATTAAATCAACGCGAAGCCGACACATCAAAGATTTGCATTGTAACATTGCATTAACATTATAACATTCATCAAAGTCAGAATGCATTATGCCATCACAATAAAGGGCACAAAAGACAGACACTGAAACTTTAAAGCCACCATTTCTATACAATTTATTTAACACTTGAGAATTTTCAAGTTTTGTTTATTCAAGAATGCTCTATAAATGCACAAGTCAAGTATTGTTTGTTTAGCAGAAATTAATCGTTTTCAAAACAATTAACATTGACCCTGCTACAATGAAAGCAAAAAACTTTCTTTCTCTCTCAATTAAGACCAGTCCATTGTTAATTTATGGGATTACACTTTAAAATGCTAAAATAATGAGCAGCCAGCAGTTTGAAGGCAAACAACATGGTCATGTAGATGTAGACTACCCTGTCTGTATACTGGTTACAGTGATACCCTGACATTGCTACGACTGTCCAGTTATAGTAGCAGGTAACATGCAACCATTTAACCATCTAGCTGTCTTGATGGTTGTTATCCAGAACTCGGCAAATGAGGGTTTTAATAATAGACTAGCTCCCGAATTAAGAATATTTGTGTTTTTCCCCAGCTAATTTGTAGGTAGAAACAAACATTTGCACTACCTGTCACAATTGACCCCTACTCTGACCTTTTATATGAATAACAATAGTTTTAACCACAAACATGGACTCCTTTGTTAACAAATATGCTGTGGTGAAATTCTTATTGTATTCACTAATTTGAGAATTAGAATTAAACAGGTCAGGGGTCTATGCAAAGATTAGTCAACCTGTTGTGCTTATTTTCAAACTGTAACTGTAAAAGTTTGTTTGTACCTATGGATTTGCTGGGAAAAACCCTAAATATTCTTAATTCCAGAGTAAGTCTAAAATACTGTGACCAACTTGTCTTCAAGATAGTACAATCTTTTGTAAATGACCATGCAGCAAGGAATAAACTGCCCTTGGTAAACAATATCTCTGTCACAAGGACCATAGGTTATTCATGTCAATGATACAGTTAAAACACAAGTAGAAATAATGACTTACCTTTGGATAACTGAGAGTAAAGTGGCTTTCAAGGTTGACCTCTAACAGTGGATCTATACCCATTAATGGTTTAATAATAGAAACTCCTGGTACGTTATCAGTCAGTGTCATAGGGTCTTCCTTCTTGTACAAGATGAAACGTCTGTAAAATAATGTACAATATCAGTAGATATACAATGATTAAACTGGTGCAATACTGATAATTATATCTCATTCTTCGACAAAAATGTGCAATATCAGTAGATATGATACAATGATTTAACATGTGCAATATTGTTAATTATTTCACTTTCACAAAAATGTGCAATATAAGTAGATATACAATGATTTAACTGGTGCAATACTGATAATTATATCTCATTTCGACATAAATGTGTAATAGCAGTAGATATACAATGATTCATCTGGTGCAATGCTGATAATTAAATCTAATTTTGACATAAATATGCAATATCATTAGATATACAATGTTTTAACATGTGCAATATTGTTAATTATATCTCACTTTCACAAAATGTGCAATATAAGTAGATATACAATGATTTAACTGGTGCAATACTGATAATTATATCTCATTTCGACATAAATGTGTAATAGCAGTAGATATACAATGATTCATCTGGTGCAATGCTGATAATTATATCTAATTTTGACATAAATGTGCAATATCAGTAGATATACAATGATTCATCTGGTGCAATGCTGATAATTATATCTTATTTTGACATAAATGTGAAATATCAGTAGATATACAATGATTCATCTGGTGCAATGCTGATAATTATATCTTATTTTGACATAAATGTGCAATATCAGTAGATATACAATGATTCATCTGGTGCAATGCTGATAATTATATCTTATTTTGACATAAATGTGCAATATCAGTAGATATACAATGATTCATCTGGTGCAATACTGATAATTATATCTTGTTTTGACATAAATGTGCAATATCAGTAGATATACAATGATTCATCTGGTGCAATGCTGATAATTATATCTTATTTTGACATAAATGTGTAATATCAGTAGATATACAATGATTTAACATGTGCAATGCTGATAATTATATCTTGTTTTGACATAAATGTGCAATATAAGTAGATATACAATGATTTAACTGGTGCAATACTGATAATTATATCTTATTTTGACATAAATGTGCAATATCAGTAGATATACAATGATTTAAACATGTGCAATGCTGATAATTATATCTTATTTTGACATAAATGTGCAATATCAGTAGATATACAATGATTTAAACATGTACAATACTGATAACTACTGATGTCATTTTGACATGAATATAAATATACAAAAAATGAAAGTAAGCAAAAAAAGTATTTATGCAATATATGCAACGTAAACATATCAAAATCAAAACATTTGTCAATTTTCATTACCTTGCATGTTGTGTTATGTTACAATTTATTGCATTGAATTTCAAATTAGTTTATTTTCATTTGTTATTTAACACTCAGGTTTGCTACATAACAAAACAACTGCAATAAAATACAGATTGGCATGAGAAACACATAACTTCTTGTAATAAATTTATTACAAATAAATCATGCAGTATCATCTATATCAACAAATGAACATTTGTATAATTCAATCTGTGTCATTATCATTGAAATTTAATACATGCTCTGTTCAAATATTTACCAAGTTATTTCTCTATGAAATTCAGAATTTAGTATCCACTCAGTTTTTGTTCTTACCATTAAACTGTCAAATAATTTTTTCTCTGAGTATATTTTTCTCTGCGTATGAACAAAGAAAAAAACGTCCCTAAATAAGTAATGTTTTAAGACTTAATTAGGTGAACAATTTCACAATTCTTTCAAGCTGATCTAATGTAAGAAGACATAAGGTGCTGACCCATTCATTCATTCATTATGTCAAGCAAAACTAGAAGCCAAAAAGAACCACTGACCTTTACATGTAGCAACCTCATAAAATATATGATACCTTTCTGAGATTTGAGCTCAAGGCAACAAGGAGCAAAGATAAAAGTTAACAACCTTCATCATTCAACCCATTACAGAAGCAAAGTGGTCTTTTGCTGTTGTTATTTTTTGTGAAAAAAACTTACCCTCCTATCTGTGATATGATAATGAAGAATGTTGACATCCCATATAACACAAGTCCAATCACGGCCACAAAAAATATAATGTATGACCAGGTCTGGTCATCTAATAAGCTGTATATACCCATTGTCTGCAAAAATATAAAGCAAATTTTTAATTTAATATCAACAAAATCAAATTCCTATTAAAAATCATACAATTAAGTATATCTGTTTAGATCACGCATTCATCAAAAGTTTGGAAAAAATTCCATCAGTTTAAGGGGGGAAAGCATAAATTATATGAAACATCATCTGTGGCAAGATGTATCATAGCTATATATAAATCTTCTCAGAACAGAAGGTTGTATGAGCTGTTAACTTAAAGACCAGAGATAACAGATTTTGTCATGACTGTGTGTGTGTCAATCACATATCACTGAGTCATACATTATTCATGTGCAGAGTAACAGTGATTTTTTTTCCAATTTTCAAAACAACCTGTGCTTTCTGAAGGGGAAAATATAGTGTGATGAATCAAAAAAGGGGGAAAACCTGAAATCAAATTCCAACAACTGAAAATGGAATTTACCCACACTTTTTATGGGAAAAAAATAATAACAATTCAATTTTACATGCATGGTACATATCAGAGGCTATATATCAGGACAGATTTCTGTCTTCTAGATAATAAAAGTCAGATGCTGTTAAGTCATGGTTCTGGTAAGGAAGAGCACGAGGCATTTTGGGGAAAATGTTAGCATTTTTAGGGGAAAATATACCTATTTTGGGCTAGGGGAAACAGCCTTTATTCGGCTGTAAAATACAGTGAAAAAAATCACTGTTACTCAAATTGTTTTGTTTCTTAATACAAATTAAATGTATACTGTTCAATGTGTTCAAATTGTGTTCTGCTTAAGCTATCAAGATTTACTACTGATAAATATTAATCCATGTTGTGACAAAGATTGTCCTATATTTAGCCACACAGGATCTAAAACTTTCAAGGCCGAATGATGTAAAATGGATATATACAATGTATGTAACTATACGTTCTAAGGTATAAGGAAAATTTTATGTCCTGTTTGAACTAAACAGCAAGATATATCTATTTATAACACTTTTACATTTATTTAACCCAAAGCATAACTATTAATTATTAATCTGTAATAATTACCTCATCTTATATCTTAATGTAAATAATAAAATCTTATCTTTAATCACAAAACAATAAATATTTGCTTCACAAAATTCTATAAATAGTTACTCTTAATCTATATTTTGCAACTAAAATCTATAAATAGTTACTCTTAATCTATATTTAGCAACTAAAATCTATAAATAGTTACTCATCATCTAAATATAGAAACAAAGTTGATACCTGATTAGTATGGGCAATCAGTAATTGTCAACTGGAAATGGTGTATAACTCAAACATTGGTAGTTAAGCTGGACATACGAGTTGTACTACAAACTACGGCAGATCTACGCTACAGCCACGTCACCTTTGTTGTTACCTCTCAAACTCTTGTTTCTTTGATATGATATCCACCGATACCCTCTCCGTTCTTTATATCAAAACCTGAAATAAAGTAAAATATCAGGATGAATTAGATTTTTTTTCCGAATATAAAAATATTATATGTCCCAAAATGCCTTTTAATTACTCTTCGTGTGAAATATGACAACCATTTTCAGCTGTGTAAATTAACACATACAATAAAACTGTTTTTATTACAAAGAAACATGTCAAAATATTGTACTGATCATTTACAAATGGAACATAAATTTTACCAAGAGCATTCATATTTATTTTCTGCAAAAAGGAAAATGACAGATGGAAATATACAGGACCTCAGATGAGTTGCAATATAATCAAGTTAAAAAAATTATCATAAAGCCACATGGAAAGCTTTATTTTTTTTTTTGCAAAACTTTTGATTAACAACTTTTATTTGCAGAGCATTTAATTCAACATTAGAAAAATCCATCCACATATGTTTCAGTTTAAAATCAGGTCAATATAATTCTTTAAAATAATAATTCTATAATTTAGAAGTGGTATTGATCCCGACACTGTCTAATACATTTTCCATTTCAAAAATGCTGACTTTACAAATTTGTGCCCCGCAGACAATAGAAAATTTCAGTTGTGGCTAAAACCTTAAAACAAATTTGCCAAACAGAAATTAAATGACTCATTCTGTTTTAATGAAGATCGAAATGACTAAATTATAGAGATATAGAAGTTAATTTTCCTTAAGCTTATAAATGTCACAATATTGCATTTAATCTGAAGGATAAATCAGCTTAAGTAACTGATTCTTCATAAGCAAACATTTTGACATACAGTGCAGACCAGTCATCAGCTGGCACTACAGTGTTGTTCATTAATCATGGTCTGCACTGTTTGTTGTTAAGTCAAAATTTATTTTGAAATTTTGCTTAAAACAACTGATGAATGACCTACATGTATAATTATAGTCCAGATTGAACGATGTACAAGTCCATTTAAAATACTTAAGCAATGTAAGGGTTGATATTTTGTCAGCATTAATCTAATGTGATTATATTATTGTTTTGACCAATTTCAATCATTTTATAAAAAGTAAACAAATTAAAGTGTTTGCATCATGCAGTAGCAACTTCCTGATTGTTTGATAACAATGTTTATTTGTGAGTTTGACATAATGACTAATGTTGCTACATGTAATACTTCATGTATTTACTGTAAGTCAAACTGACTGTCAAGGTCATAATTATTAAGCCTTATTGATGGAGAAAGACAATTAAATTAATAAATACTTTGTTTTACTGAAATTAGACACTGGCAGTACAGTAGTAAGCAGGTATAATATAGCTAGACCAATATTTAAACAAGCATGACCACAAAATCTACTGACAGCCAATCCCCAGTTATACATGGTGTTATGATAACAATTTCAACTATAATAATAAATAGCTTCATGTTTCAAGGTTTCATGTACTATTAAAACACCTATATAATAAATCAATACACTCGATCAAGTTCTGGCTGGAAAAAAATGTATAACCCACTACCAATAATCTGTATTATATGGAATATCACTGCAATATGGCAGTAATAGGTCAGTGACCGAAGTGAAACGCCCCTTTTAAAAGGTGAGAAGAGGTTAACTTAATGTTTCTCAGAGATAATGGATCTGCTCAGCAATACTTCAGTTACAGAAGGCATGACACCATTTACAACACCTGAGTATACTGAGGTTAACTGTTAGTAATGGTAATAATTCGTAGAATCCTTGTTAATTATCACTGAGAAACTATTTGTTACAACAGTTACTCAGTAGCCTCATATGACCATTACAATATGTATGTACCATAAAAAATTTAATATGATGGTACTTTTAAGAGTTATTGAAATGTTTACAGAATACTACACCAGTCATAGAGAAAAACCTTTTAAACTGTGACAACACATCTTTATAATTATATACATGTAATTATATAAACTCTTTAATTTTTTAAGTAAGTTAATGATAACCCGACAAAATGTCACCATGAGCACTTGATCTACACTTGTATGTCTTAAATTACCTTGTAAAGTTTACAGTTAACACTGGACAACTGAATTAAATACATTTAATGGGTTTGTTTGAACATTCTTGCACTTATTTCACTTTAAGGCCCATAAACTCTAGTTTGCATAATTGTACACATTCTAAAATATGAAATCTCTTGACTTACCGACCTTAAATACAGGCAACAAACATAAATGGTAACATATCATAATAAATGTGTACGGTAACATATCATAATAAATGTGTACATCAGCCTCTTCACAGATACAAAACTTTTTGACTGTCACCCTTTATTTTTCAAAACTTCCATAAAATTGAATCAATTCAAAAATTATGCTGGCAACATTATTTGCACATAACAATATAACCAGCATGGGGATAAATATTGCCAGATGTTATGAGCTAACAGGCACCCTGATGTTTGTCTTCATTGAGGGTTAAAAATTCACTGAACATGTCTAGCCATGGCAAAAGGTAGATGGTTGTATGTTTCTAGTATAAACCCTTGACATACCCATGTGCATAGGACCATCTTAACACACATTTCAACTGTTCAAATGGCATGTTATAAGTTAATGAAGATTCCCCCAACCCCACCCAAGTTCAAGAATAATGTAACTGTATCATTGAGAAAGAAGCAAATAAGATAGTTTTGCACTATCATGATTACATGTACATTACAAACAGTGCACAAACTATTATAATTTTATCAGCTATGATGCAATTTAAACATGTATTAAAGACAAACTTACAGAATACATTCTTAAATCTCCACAATCCTGATGGAAAAGATAAAATGTCAAGATCACTCTTAATTTAACACACCTTGTAATATTACTCAACTATTTCGGCAAGTGTTAAATTTCCTCGTAATGATAAAAATGTTACTACCTGTTTACTCAATGTGAAGCCAAGCATCACTTTACCCGAGGTATCCCTTTTCTTACATGCATTATCTCACTATATATGAAATACATCAATGTTTAATGTAGTTTTGTGATCTATATTGATCTATCATAACAAATGATGTCTTTTTTTAATATTTATAAAAGGATATATCATATTTAAATATCACCTAGAAACATATCATATCTATCTACTAGTGTATCTCAAGTAAGTCCAAAAGTCTCTCTATTCACTGTTAGTAGTAGTGATCGATATGGTGTGGAAGTTGTTAAGACATAGTAAAACTCAATGATATTACCTCAACATTGCATGTTATACCGTAACAGCATGGATCCTGATGCGCAGGATGGTCTGGATCCATGCTGGTCGCAAACCCATTATGTTGGTTTTGTCATGACGTGGCTCTTTTTTTTTTTTGCCATTCAGATAACAGATGGTCAGTCAATACCTTAACAAGAGATCCTCGAAGATATTATTATTTGTTTCTAACCATCTTCTCCACAAAATAAATCAACAGGACACTTTTTAAAACATTATTTTTTTTCCTGTGGCTTAGTGGGCCTTTAAAAGGCAGACAGTGTAATATGATATGTTGCAAAAGTAGCATGTACCATGTTTTATTAAACTGGTATTTGTTACATTAATGGGTTTCAAATTGATTAATATGTAACACAGATTTAACAATGATGAAAAAAATAAAAACTGGAGTCATAAAGAAGCCTAGTTGTTATTTGAAGAATAAATTTTGCTGACCTAAAAAGAACTGCTGAACCTCCATAAAAGTGAATTCCATAAATAACTTCATGTGTGTACATAACCTTAATGGTTCACAATTCATACCCTTAATGGTGACCTACTTTTAATAAACCCAAAGTATGCATTTTGTAAAGATTTAGCACAACTGTACAAAAAACTTGAGTAGTCTTAAAAATTTAACTATATTTATACAAAGAGAAACGATTATCAAAGTACAATTTCAGACAAAATTAACAAAACATAACTGCTGAAACATTAAACAAAGCATATTTGTTGTAAATACAGGTACAAGACAAATCAATAATAAAACAATAAAAGCTGCATGTACACTAATGATCACAATAGTAATATATCAGGAAAAAAAGCTACCTGATGCAGTTTTCGTCTATATTTAACTGAAGTAATTCTATTCCATTTTAAATTTGCATCTTAATATCACATTTCAAAATTTTAACGCAAAATTTTAACGAAAAGCATTAAATTAAAAGAAAACATTAAAAGTTTATCAAGTTAAACACTAAGACATATAATATAAGAAACTATCTTAAGTTTTTGACTATTATCCAATTTACCCGAAACTCACCAGTTAGAGTATCAATTACATACATATTTACACGTCAATGTTTGATGATGACAGTTTTACCTGTAATGAGAGATATCAATCTATATCAATCACAGTCAGTCTTATATCTCATCTTATATCTCATCACACACTGACCATGTGAAGAATGTGCACTTTGTTCATGTTTTTTTTTTATATCACACCTCGATCAATTAGTGTATTTTTTTTACCTCACGATCATCAAATTGTCACTGCTTAATTTTAGTTTTACTCCTTCAGCAAACAAAATAAAATTGGCGTCCTTTTCGTTTATCTCATATATATCTCATAAGTCATAAAATATTTAAATTTATTGACGCAGTCACCTCCTGATTTAAGTGTTGGACTGTGAATCCAGTGACCTGGGTCTGATTCCCACCTTCATTGTGAACGATCATGAAATCCTACGTTCATTTGCACTGTACTTCTTACTCTAGCAAGTAAGAAATTAACCAGCAGTTCCTTGTGAAAGTGGATGGTAAACTGCTTGACAGTTTGCCCAGTGAGGAACAACAGATCATATGATAACAATGTACAGTAGCAAGATATTAGAAATCTTTATTTTACCTTTCAATAATTTAAAGCAATTATTTTACGTCATATTGAACCAAAAGTCAATAATTATTGCCGAGTAAGTTTGTTCTGCCTTTGTCATACATTGATAGTTTTGCAGAAATGCAAATTATTGTCCCAGAAGTATTCATGACAAAATCGAGAAAAACCTTAAGGACAATCAATGGAACAGAATGCGGAGACAGG